CCAATAAAGGCACGGGTTATTATTTTTTTAAATTTTATATTATCATCATTATGAATGCGAAATTTCTTCAAGTCAACATTATTTTTCTTTCACTTTCCCATCATGAGCCTTACGCGAAAACTAGCATCGTAAAGTCAATAGGATGCAAACAGAATCAACCTAAAATAAAAAATATCTCTTGAACTTATTTTTACATCTCAATGCCCATACCAATCATTCAATTTTAAAAATTCCATGTAGATAATGATTGCGGAAATTGCCTAAGGAATATTCCAAAATTTAGAGACCATCAACAAAATTTGGATCAGCATTTACTTTTTAATGCAGGTACATATCTGTACGTTGCAGGGTAGTTTTAGGCAGCAGCATTACTTCAAAATTGTAAATTGGTTAATCCATTCGCAACTCGGCAACTTTGCCGACAGAGGTGAGAAAAAATTCGACTTGGACGGAGCCCAACTCTGTGAGCTTCCTGCGTTTGGTTACTCTCATGCAATTTTAATGGTGCTTATGTTGAGTCATCTCTGAGATTCAAGTTTAAGTCCCATTAATGTTTTAATACTTACACTATCTCCTTTATTTTCCTACTAAAAATATCCCCTGAAGACTCTTTCTCTAAGGAAGAAATTAGTATTCCTTTGTTTCTTTATTTTTCTAGAACAAGCTGAAATATCCAAAATAGACTTCATGATGCTGATACCTTTGCGCGACTGTGGTTCCGTGCATGAAGATTTCTGGTTCAAAACAATGGTCCCAAAAACTAAACGAATAAGACAAAAATCAAATTAAGTCAAATCATTCCATATTCATTAAGGTCTCAGTACGTTTTTGCATGGTGTTGTCCTTTCTATTTGTTTGTTGGTATTAATTTTGTAAAAATAAGATTATAAATGAGCAAATTTATGTGCAAATCAATGATGATCATAGGTTTCTGTTTTTTATCAATGAAAAGACAGAAAGACACACCTTTCAAGATACCCCTTTTTATATTTTAAAGTTTGCAGAGGGGTCGAAGGTTTAAAGGTTGAAGGGTCTTTCTGACCGAAAAAAAAATCGCACTTCATATAAAATCCCATAAAACGAATTAACTGGATTCCCGGATTCTTCGTTTGCCTAATTGGGACCAGTCAACTGATTTATGGTGATCAAATTATAGCTGCGGTGAATACCTGAGATTTTTTAACAGATAATAAAAGAGCCAACTGAAGCCGAGGCGTCCTAGAATGAAAAAAAATGTCACCTGTCTAGGATAGAAACATTCCACCGACGAGTTGCAACAATCTGATAGCGCAACAACACATAGTGAAGGATGATCTTAGGTGAGGATGAACCGATGTCAATACTTGTTGTTCCGATGAACTTATGCACTGACACCTAATAAGGCCACAACTGATCAAATTAGCTGTTTTTAAACAAGCGAAGTCATATCCAACTCCACTCTATAGTCAAATCCTTGGTTTCCAAATGCAATACTTTTAAATTATACGAATTTGGTCATTAATAAGTATTTCTTCTTTACATGTGACTTCACGGACGTACACTCGATTTTAAAATATTCAATTCACGGCCCGGATTTTGTTTGCCTAAATCTTTGAGCTTATGTGGATTAAAGTAATCAACTTTATGTGAAAATAGACACTATGTGTGTAGACATTATGATAAAAGAACCAAGATCAAGCAAAAACATCCTCAAAAATCGGCAGCGTATTTTATTTTTCAGATACCATTCCGCCCTAGACGCCATTTCCACCAAAAGACTTTAACGCAGCGTTAAGAAAAAGAGCTATGAAGCCACACTAAATGTCTGCCACCTACCACCAGAAACAGTGTATATATGTCACTTAATTGTTTTCAAACTATCAAAATTAGATTCGATTATCTCCTACATTTGATTGAATCAGCATTATTACAAAAATACCCCGTGTAAGAAAGACCATTGTTATTACGATAAAAAATGAAATGGAGATTGACATATATTTGAAATGCATTGTAAGTAGCAGACTACCTTTAAACTATTTGTTTTTTATCATTATGATCTGAAAACTTTTAAAAATTGCAATGTAAGTTCTTTGTATATTTCGTATCAATTTAAAATCATAGCGTTTTCAGGTTATTCAAAAATGTTTAACTGGCACACATGCTCAACACACGTCCTTTGGCTCATATTCCTCGCAGTGGCGAAGCGTGCTTTGCGATATATCGATTGATCTGCCACGTAAATCTATGAAAAAGGATCGATTTATAGGGTGTTCGCAGCAAACATCTTAATAATCGATTTTTTACCACAGATTCATGTGGGGAGATAGCAATAATTATGACATGCCGTGTATTTATTTTACCTCGTTTCTGAGTTATTTTTGCGATCAGCCCTCAAATTAATAGAATATAGGAGGCAAAACTTTGATAAAGCTTAAGCAAATGCGCTGAAGGAGGAAAACTTGTAGAGTGAACCAACGATTGTTATTTTGAAGTCGAATAGTCTTCTGTTTTTCTCAAAAGAGTGACTTCATAAACATCATAATTCGCGGATAAATTCGTGCAAACTGCTCTATGACTGTTTTGATGGACTCTCAATCAAATCATCGAAAAGAGGAAAGAATTTTATGGTTGTATATATGCTAATACGAACATTGGCACATTATGACAAAACATATTTTTAGTCTCTAAAACACCTTAACCACTATTCTGCCGCGTTAAGCAAGAACGCCGTAAATCCATCAAGATTTTCCCGCGTTTTTTGACGCTTAACTCTTTATAAAATAAAAACTGTTTTACCCATGCACCTCCAATTTTCAGGATAAGTTCTTGATAGCATTTGAGAAAGAATTCTGTAAAAACATTTTCTCAAAGTACAAAAGTTTTTTGCTATGATACATTGTTTCATAAAAATTTAGAATGACTTTTACGGCGTTTTTGCGTTGCACGGCAGTATTGTCAACATCTGATGAAGAGGCTGTAAGCAGTTCTCTGAGCCAAGATATCCTGTCTTTTAAAGATTTTTTTAAGCACTACTGGAGGTGAACAAAGCCACATCGAAGCACAGTAAACCCTAAACGAATGGCAATACATGAGGCACAAGGCACGTGAGTTAGGAGCTTGTGTGAGACGCGTTTAGCTGGTTAGCAGACAGTTAACTGGATCAAACGGAGGAGGATCACCGATTGAGGCAGATCAGCAAAACACTCGACTGATCCAGTGACACCTGAACTCAGACTTCAAAGTGCGCTTTGCGCACAGCGTTGCCAAACGTTGATCTCAGTGACTTAAAATCATCTAATTGTCTTTCTGTTTAAGAACGCACTGAAAAAAAAATCTCGGTGTATTTACTAAGAAAAGGGTAAAATTACCAAGAATTCAGGGTTCTATTTGATCCCAGTTTTTTCTTGGTAAAATTACCATTTATGGAATTGGTAATTTTACCAAGGAATCTCGGTAAAATTATTGACTTTCTCGGTAATTTTACTGGACCCCGGTAAAAACGCCAATATTTTTTATCGACTGTGGTAGAATTACCGAGATAAAATGGCAAAGTTACCGGGAATTGATTACCAATAAAAGTGGTATTCTTACCTGAAAAAACAGTAAAAATACCGGTTTTTAGGTAAGCTTACCAGTTTGTCTTGGTAAAATTACCAATAATTGGTAAAAAAAGTGAGATGGTAAAGGTACCAACGGACCTTGGTAAAAACGCCGAGAATTTTTTTTCAGTGCAGGGAAGAAAAAGGTTCTTTGAGCCTATGGCAGCACTAGAAGCTATATCTCTGATCTGAATCTTCGTGCTCACTGAAAAAAAAAAGAAAGAAAAAAAACTTTGATATCAAACAATTGTTAATTTAAACAAAATGAGTTGATTATAAAAATAAGGAAAGAAACTACCTGGCTGACTGGAGACGACTGGAAAACTGGTCTCATCACCGAAAAACTAAAAAAGCTCGCAAGACAGTCAAGGCATCTACGAGTATTTCAAGAATCAAAGCTTCAAAACGTCATTTTTTGGGACTGCACACAGAAAGGATTATAACATAAAAGTTTGGTTGATGCGGGAAGTAAAATACAATATTACCCTAGCTTTTGGCTGACAATTTTAAGAAAGAGTGCCAGTTAGTTTTCTTGAAGAAGTTTCATAAAAAACGAGTGGTGTAGATACCAACGTCGCAATCAAAGAAATGCATTTTCCCAGTCTCTCCGTTGTTTTCGGAGCTAAATAAACCGCAAACTGCACCAAAATCAACACTACATCTGGATGGTTTGTGTTTCATTTCGTTTATTAACCAACAGTAACATGAGGACACAAAGATTTTTATCAGTGCAAGGTCGATTTTGGACATTGTATTGCTACTTAATGTATCGAACAAAACTACAAGCTCTTGTTTCATAGTTTGCAACCTTACAAAATGTCTTGCTCGGTTTTAGTTTAAAGGGAGAATATCCATCATTTATAATTCTGAATGTTTCTAATACTTCCCTCTCCAAGAGTCCAAAAATCAAGTTTTGCTCGAAAGTAGACTTTATTTTACAGCCGGAAGAATGAGAAGAGAGCCAATAGCTTAGAATCTATTGCGATAAAAAAAACCATATTTTAAGTTCAACTATAACAGAACTCTTTTATACATAAAACTCATCGATGATGAGGCTCTCTCCTTTAGTCTCTATGCAGCAATTCTCCGATGAATTGAGTTCACTTTCGATGAGCCGTAATTTAAAATTTTGAATACAGCGGGGCTATAAACTGCCGATAACCGAAAAATCCTGGAAATTGGCCAAATAAAACTCTTGGTAGGACGCGGATCGAAAAAAAAGAAGGAGAAAAGTGGAAGAGAGAAGTCTCTCAAGGATAGGAGTTAAGAAATGGGATTGATAAACGTGATATTTTGCCTCCGCATTATTGGCAACAGTGCGAGACTAGTACGGCCGAAATCGCAAGGGGAAGGCGCTGGTGGCCACACGCAAGACCTGAGAAAGCTCGCGAGGGAGGGAGATCTATAAAACGCTGCTTGGACGTCGACCCCCTCACAGTGTGTCTAACCTCTTAAACCATCATGAAGTCCATAGTAAGTATAGCAAATTTTATTGCCCTAACATCTATTAGCTTTCGGTATTCTACGGAGTGACCTATGTCTTTGATCGTGACCTTTTAATTGCTCCTATCAAGTGGCGTTTAGGGCAGATGCAAATGCCCAATTAAATAATTCGGATCGCGTATTTTGACCTTTGTCTTCCTTCTCAATAATCATTTCAAATTAAAGCAATTGTATATAAAAAATCTTGAGGTAACGAGGAAAGACGAAACTTAGAACACGTCCAAAATCAATACCACGTTCCAACATTCGCCCTAAGGAAAAAATGTCGCAGCATGAATCTACTCTTGCTTTGCCCCAAACAATCTTGATTTCCGGAATGGTTATCACTGTAAGCCTTCCGTTACAAATGGTGGTAAAAGAGAAAGAGATGTAGGTCTCATTTTCTCTCATAAGAATCGCTGGATATCTTGTTTTTGTCCTCACTATCATAAATTAAAAATAATTTTATATGTAACGCTTAGGAAACATCAATTTCTTTCGCGAGACCAAAGCAATGAATGCATTTTAGCATAACGGGAGCGTAAACAGAACATAGATAATAAATAGAAACCACTCGATTTTTTCCTCTTCATTTTTTCTTACATAATTTAAGTTTTAATATTGCGAGCCATGGATTGCACCACCTCTTTTTTCAAATGACGCTCAAATCTCGTGACGGTTTTGGCCTCCAAAACGGCTTCGCGCCATTCCATCCCTTCTTTAATCCTCTTTTTCTATATTCGTGCACTCATCTCATTGTTCTTAACTTGCGATCCAATGTTTATTTTGGAAATCATAAAATGTAAGCAATTTCGTAAAAATTCAGAGTGAAATCATGTGTAATGTAATACGTTTAGGCACTACTTTTCAGTAACATCTCCCTCTCTCGCACCAAAAAAAATGATATTTGGAATCCCAACGTCCACGGTATGGGAATAATTTTATACGATTTTTGACTAATATAAGCTCTCTGAGGTATGCTCAGCATAGTGAAGCCATTTGAATCCAACCTTTATGGGAAATTTCTCACCCATGATCTCGTAAAAAACTTTTTCAGTCTTTCTTCTGTCGCGATGTACGGCCTATGCAGTCGTCCAATGATAACAGTTCTGCCGTGATAGCGAAGAGAGCAGTATGTGCATTTCTGTATGAGCCATGGATAGCACATGCTTTTATGTTTCTCGAGGTTCATCTCAGCACGCACTTACTGCTCTCTTCGCTATTACGGCAGAGTTGGTCGGACCATGGGTCGCGGTAGGGGTAACGCGCAATCGAGATAGAGGCCGTAATTTAAGGAACTTTTTCAAACGCAATTTTAGTTTTTCTCGTGCGCGTTTAAATGAAAGCTCAAACAATCCAACTTTGAACCCGTTATTATTGAATCAATATCTTACAAATCCACAAAAATTTATGTGAACTAAATGCACTGTCTACTTTTCAAAAATGCAATATTTAAAATTACTGAACAAACTCACTATAAGTTAATTGTGTTTTGCGAATGCAATGATTAAACATATAAACTTATCGTTAATGAATAAAGATTAATTTAAGTCACTGACGTAAGTGAGGTAATTCTTTAATATTTTGCAAATTTTTTTTGATAATAATATAAACGCAAGTTGAATACCATATAGACATCTCAAAATTGGGCAGTTGTAGCTTATAGCAAACGTAATTTTGCACGTTAACATCGTATTTATTTATTTATTTATTTACGGTTGACAGTCAACCTGAGATCATAATATATCAGCTGCACTTACTGTAGATTAATGTTTCGGTAGCTTAAATAAAAATGAACAAATATCATCGTAATGAAAATTTTCTAAGTACATACAGTGGTATTTATTGTCAATACCATCAATTTTAAAGGACGATGAAAAAGTTCAAGATTCATTGAGTCTCTAAAATATCATTGACTTTCGTAAGGACATGCTATCTCTTATGTAACAATATAAATTTCCATCGTTGTTTCAATTTTTTTTTTTAAATACGAAACTCACTAACAATTTTTCTTGAAATAATCTGTGAATATTCTTTACTCACTGAGTGATATTAACAGAAAATCTCAAAAATATAATTTGGTTAGATCTGCCAGAGAAAAATTAAAAATTATCAGAAATTTTCAAACAAAATAAAAGGGATACGTAGTTGTTTACCTAGGCCCCTAGAGTCCTACCTAGAGTCCCCAAATAAAGTGGCAGCCCTGTCAATGTATTTGCTCCCTATCCTTTGCATGGAGGGTTTGTCTTGATGTAGAGGTGGACTCTCGGGATAGCGTGGGATATCCCCTCCATTTTGGCCTCAACTTGAGAGCTTTTTTTGAGCTTGGGAGTTGATTTCAGGGAAAACCGGTGGCACCATCGTGTTTCTCGCGAACTTTTATATACACAAGAATCAACAGTCAAATCGGAAATTCCTCACATATGTAACATCTCCATTAGCACATCGCTTCGATTTTTTCAAGAATTTGGCGCTACACTCCAGTTTCTGCGTTAGGAGACGCGGCCCTAAACTTGCCCCTCCTCTTCCTCCTCCTATAACGCAGGTTCAGACTCCCCTCCCCTCAGAGCCTTAATATTTCTTAAATTACCCTTCACTGTAGCTAGCTATCTTTGCATCTGTCCATGTCCCATCACTACACTAACAAGCGCTTTTCACTTGCTCGAAATCGATCCCGTCACGTCAGTAACCACAATCAGCCTTCCTGCATTTCGCTTTGCCTCATTTTCTTTCAGGTTTTCTACTCCTAACAGAGAACCAAATTGTGTCAGCTTATAACAAGTACCCTTACACACTCTGAAGCCAAGGTGCCGCTTATTTTTCTGTGAAAAAATAAGACATGTGAGGAAATCCGCAGTGAGGAAATCTCGAGGAGAGATCACGTAAGGAACGAAAGAGTCCTTGAGATCATGAACGCCGAGCAGAACATCGTGGATGAAATTATGACCAAACAGCTTGTCTCGTATGGTCATGTTCAACGAATGGCGGATGATAGGTTGCCTAAGAAGGTGCTAGATTGGGTTCCTCCTGGGAGAAGACGTAGGGGACGCCCAGCAAAATCGTGGATTGGTGGCATTCAAGATGAAATCACAAGATGCCATCTACCAGATGACCTCTGGATCGATAGGCAAGGATGGCGATTAGGTGTCGCAGAGCGCCCGAGCGCGCTGTAAAGCGACTGGAATGTATGTAGGAAATCCGCAACCTAAAAATCAGAGAATTTGAAACACTGCAAAAGGAACCCGCATTCTTTTACCCAGGCATCGATATTTTACTACCATCAACGAAAATAGTGTACTGCCATGCTAAGGAAGGAGGCCGTATGAGCCTTCAGGCGTTGCCAAGTTGCCATTGATAAAATACGAATTTACAGGAAAAGTTACGAATATTTTTCTTCCAGTTTTTCAGGCAACATTGTTCGTTTAAACTAAAATATCTGAAAATTTCTAGTACAAATATGCATAACTTCCTTCCAAAATAACTCTTTTATCGGAGGAAATTTGGCAACTCTCGAATGCTCATACGGTGTTTTTCCTTTAGCACGGCAGTGTAGTTAGGGTGCTTCTGGTTCAATCTGCCCATATAATCTATACTGAGGGCTAAGGAGCAGTATCTTCTAACTGACAATTTTTTGCAAAATGAGTTAACAATTTTGCCGCGCTCTAGAGTAAAAAATGAGCAAGCCGATAATGTAAATTTCTTTCCAATTCTGCAGGGAAGGACTGTGATGACCCTGCAATGTTTTGCAAAAAATTGCAAATCTAACCTCGCAAACTTAGAAAATGGCAAACTTTTCTCTTCTGTCTGCAAAAATTGTCAGTTTGCAGATGGGCGGTATTGTTCCTTAAGGTCCAGTTACACGATCAAAATGAGCCATCAAATTGGGCCTCTCATTGGTCGCATCCTCACCTCAGGTCTTTTTCCACCAATCAGAGCTTCAGTTTTATGGCTCAATTTGATCGTGTAACTGAACCTTACGTCATGAAAATCAAATCTAGCATTGGGGGCGTTAAACGCTTTTTCACGTGAGCCTTGACCATTATGCGGTTTTACGGGCGTCAGGGGTCATGTCGAGATGCAGTTACGTCCTTGCGTCCTAGGAGCGAGGCCTGTCCCTTTGAATCTATCGGTCGAAGTGAAATGGTGAGTGAATTTCTCCCTGGCGGACCCTGATCAGTATTCCGACGCGAGCGCACTTATATCATCTTTGGAATAGCTGGGCAGTAGCGCGGCGGCGACTGCGGCACTTAAGTAACGCATACGACACTTGGCCAACTCCCAGGTACGACGCGCCACTACGCACCGCGATGGGGCGCCGGCGCGTGTCACAAGCGTGCGTTTCGTCACTTCGTCTCTTACAAACGGATCGTTACGTTGAGACAGAATGGTCAACAACACCTAACGATTGAATGTAACTGCCCTTACTGCATTGGGAGAAGTTATGAAATTTTACGCGAGGAAATTTTTTACAATAAATTTAAGAAAATTTTAAGATACATATATGAACGCCTCTTTCACAGCGCTCTAGGACATGCGACACCCTACCGCCAAAGTCCCCTGTCTTCCAGAAGCCCTTCAGAGAATTGCAGGAGAGAATTTTGGAGGAGTTGATGGTTTTATAGAGGAAATAAGGGAATGCCAACTCTCTATGGGGGGCGGGGGGTTTAAAAAAAAAGTTTTTGAAACTTCAAACAAGGCTCTTTTATACTCTGCGTCTCTTCGTCATGACTACAGATATTTTTTATATTAATTTTGGTGTTCCGACTGAGGATATGTAATTTTCATTATAGCGTTCAGTCCAAATATTAATGATAGGTTGAAAACAACAGAGTCCGGTCTCTCCTCATACATCATAATTTTTTCAATTGGGGAGCGAATGAGTTCATCAGATTTTGGGTTCAAGGAATAATGATGAAGTCGACCTTTCAAATGAGACAAAGATTGAGCTTCTAGCCAGTTTAAGTTTTGAATTACATGACTATTACATATGGATTATATAATGCAATACAGAATTACTGTTTTTAACTCATTCATAAAAGCACCTATATGAATAGGGAAACTAATGGCATATGCGTCATTCATAAAACGAGCCAGAAAAAGTAATTTTATGTTGCAAAATGTAGCTTAGGTACATTCGAAGAGCTTTTCCATAGCTTAAAGGAAAAAACTTGACTCAAAATTCACTGTTTCCCCTTTCACTGGAAAAAAACCAAAAAAACACATTGGATCTAGAGTCCAGACTCTCGAAAACATTGACAAGAAAACATACTCTTGATTCAATCGGATTTTTGCTTTAATCAAAACGAAATCCGCTTAAATTAAAAGGCTTGTTCTTGATTTAAGCTAGATTCTGATCGAATCAAGAGTACTTTTTCTTGTCGATATTTTTAAGAGTCTGGACTCTAGATCCAATGCTGTTTTTTTTCCAGTGTTGGATTTACAAGAAAACTTAGAAGTTCCCATTCCACCGTTTTGATTGATCTCTGAAACAATATTGTACACACAATACTTAGCCACCGTATTTTTACTACGTTTTTCCTCCTCTCTGTGCGTCACACTCTGCTCATGTTTTGCATCTTCTCCTTTCAGGCTGTTTTCTCAATTTTGGCCCTCGCGGTCGTTCGCGCCGAGGAATCAGCCGGAGACTCAAAATCAGTGAAAAAGAATGAGAAGAGGTCGTATGAAGGTTTCGGCTACGGCTACGGCGGACTAGGATTAGGTCACTCCACCCTCGGAGGACTTTACGCCGGACATGGACTTGTCGGTGGACACGGACCTGTCGTTGGACACGGACTTTACGGAGCAAGTTACGGCGCCTACCCCACATCCATCCACACCACCATCACGAAACAGGTAGGTCAAGGAATTGATATCTACACGGAAAAAAATTAAATTGCTGATTCAACAATTCAATTGCTAAAAACAGTGAGTGCAATGTTTCAATGTAGATTTTACAACAAAAAAATGCTACTTTAACCACATTGTAAATTATTGTAACCACGGGGGTGGTTAAAGTAGCATTTTTTTGTTGTAAAATCTACATTGAAACATTGCACTCACTGTTTTTAGCAATTGAATTGTTGAATCAGCAATGTTTTTTTTCCGTGTAGCAAACAAGACGATTGCCCGTCTATTTGTCAAAAGACTGTCTACAATGGAATTGAGGCACACAGGACGCGAAAAGAGCACTACCACAGTTAATTGGAAATGTCCCTATCATCCAGCAGCCCCTAACTCTCGTTTTCCATGAGATACAAATACACGCCCATTTTTGACTGATAATGCTTGAAAGTAACACTTGTGTGAGAGTTTTCCCGGGGTGACTCAAATTTCGATTTGTCGATCCACCGTGACAAAAATAGCCCGAAAATTTTGCGTTTGTGGACTATCTGGGGTCTTTTTCTCCGTGGACGATAGCATACATAGAATTACAGTATTCTTGATCACCACCAAAAAGCACACGATGTTGCAACCAGCTGATCGGAAAGTGAGAATGTGTCTATTCTAATCGTGATTCCCAAGACAGATTTTGACCGGATGCGCATTTGCCGCCACTCGGCGCGACAAACTTTCTCACACGTTCTGTGACATAGCTCGTGCACGATCTGACGCACACTCGCCACAGCCTGATCAAAAAATACTGAGTCCTTTTTAGTAGTTTTGTTATACACCGTTATCTACAAATCTTCCCGTTTTCACAGAAATTTAAAACCATCCTGTGTTCTCAAAAAAAAAAAAAAAAAAAAAAAAAAAAAAAGAGTAATGCACGTGCTTCAAGGAATACATGGCAGAGCTCAGCATTTCCGATAAGATACTAATAACGCGTAATTTTATTCCACTTTTAAGGAGAGTGATAAACAAATTTTCTACGTAGGAGATCAAAATTTCCTTACATGTCGCATGACTCTAAAATTTTGAGTCTCTTCAATTTCTTTCCCTGTACATCTCTCTCTTTTAGTCCAATTTGAAGCATCAAATCTCGAACACCTCTAATATTCTTATGGACAGAATGTTAAAAAGTAACCAACGTGTGCTACAGAAAGTCTTATTACAGAGGAAAATAGCTCGTTCGATCACAATTTTCCCTAACGCAGATACATTGTTTGGTGCAACACTGTAGTTACGACCATTCAGAAAGGCAACACTGGAAAAAAAACACATTGGATCTAGAGTCCAGACTCTTAAAAACATCGACAAGAAAAAGTACTCTTGATTCAATCGGATTTTTGCTTAAATCAAGAACCAAGCCTCTTAATTTGAGCGGATTTCCTTTTGATTTAAGCAAAAATCCGATCAAATCAAGATTATTTTTTCTTGTCAATGTTTTCAAGAGTCTGGACTCTAGATCCAATGTGTTTTTTTTCCCCAGTGAACCGCCGACGCACTAATTTTCTTATATTCTGAAATTCTTTCTAATATTCTTGTTGTCCATCCTTAGGTGCCAGTACCAGTACCCCACCCGGTTGCCGTACCCGTAGAAAAGCACGTGCCCTACCCAGTAGCCGCCCCCTACCCGGTGGAAGTACCGAGGCCGTACCCCGTAGCTGTACCCAAGCCCGTCGCCGTGCCGGTTGAGAAACCCGTACCAGTCCCAGTCGACAGACCGTACCCAGTAGCCGTGCCCCACCCTGTAGCTGTCCCGGTCGCCAAACCGGTTCCGGTGCCGTACCCTCAGCCTTACGCTGTCCCCGTCGTCAAGCCCTACCCTGTGGCTGTGTCCCATCCAGTCCCTGTTCCCGTCGCTAAGCCCATCATTGCCCACGCTCCGTACCACTCGTACCACAATTACTGGTGATCTAAGCTCTTCACATATGATCCTCATGTAAGTTCTAACTCTTTCAACAGCTTTAATTTTATTTCAGTAGTCAAGAGGTTTCAGTGAGGCCTCCTCTGTTCTAAAGAACGAATAAAAGAAAGAAGAAATCTGACCAATTGAAAAGCTACAGTATTTTTTTGAACAATAAAACGTAAATACGTCCCAAGGTTATATAATCGTTTAAATAACTTTGTTTTTTTACAAAAAAGAAAAAAATATTTGTAAAATTCCTGCTCAAACTTTTGCTGATTTTTGCTTGTTTCCTTAAGTAGAAGAATATCCAATGAAATTTTCAGTCAGGAATGCCTGATGATTTCTTGGTAAACCACAGTTAGGTAGTGAACTTCTTTCAACGTTGAAGTTCATTATGTTCCTCCTTCTGGGGATCCATGATATGTCCAATGAGATCAGTGAGAACACCCAATGAATAAATACAGCACAATGCAATTATTGTCGTTGTGCCGAAGAAATTCAGATCAGAATAAAAGTATCCTGCCGGTGTTTAAGAGGATGTCAGCTTGAAGAGAAGTCATCGAGCGACATTATTGAACCAGACGGAACTTTTCTGAGTATGTATGGGGCAACAGATTACAATTTTTACACTTTATCAGCACAAAAATGAGTGACATCTTAGAGAATGAACTAAAAATATTTAATCTTAAAGAGTAATTCATTCGGGTGGATGTATACCTCCGATCAAATGAAACTTTGCAGTACCGAGAAAAATGAATCATGATGAGATACTATTTCATTCGATTGTTATGGCTCAACGATAATGTTGATGTCTGATGCAACTATTAGTGCTCGACGGTTGTGTGTGTGGTGCGCGTAAAAAATGAAGGCGTTTTGGTTTCTGGCCCTGACAGTGATACATCACAACGCGGCTTCATCTGAAGTAATTCGAATGATGATCGAAGTTTAAAAATTGCGAAAGACTTCAAATTATTCAAAAAAAACTCTCTAGAACACTTTTGCATCCACTATACGTTCAGAGGTCCCGACGGGCTGTTAACTTCCTTGCAAAAAACTACTCGTGTCTCTTTTTCACCGCGTAATGGATAAATTCTAAATTAAATCTATGTAAAATAAATCTGGGCGTATTGGTAAATGTGATTGGAAACTTTTATTAAGTATGCATATTAAAATAATACAGCCTCGTCAAAATTTACGTAAGTTTAACGGAACGAATGCAATGGTGTTCCCATTATCTTAGTTTTATAGAGTTCATGTAGGCACGTACTATATTTTTATGATTTTTGTTACAGCTCATCTCATTCATCTCCATTCATGAGTCATCCAACATATCACAGAATCCTCATAAAGTTACGATTACTGCCAATTCATTGAAGTTACCAAATGCAAGTCTCTAATCTATGTCTGTTTGTATTCATTCTTAGTGTTTAATTTAATTGTTGTATTTTATTGTGTAAAATATTATTTTTTTTTACCAAAATGTATTCTGCTTCATTCTTGAGTCCCATATCCAGGTTTCAGTCTATATTTACGATTTGATTTACACTAGGATAGGAAACGAGAGGTTAATTTCCATGAATTGGACCTTATACCCATCTGAGAACTTTTTAACCAGAAATTCTGATCAAGATCACGGAACAACAATAGAGAGGACGTGTTATTTTTTTTTTAATGAAATGCGAATATTCTCTCTGCCTGTATTAAAAAATATCTCTCCTCTGTTGCACATCCGCCATTGCCGCTATCTCTTTTTAGAGGCGAATTCGCACAAGTCGAATAATTAAACTCATTGGTAGCGTACCTCTATTCATTATGAGCGATGAAAAGACTGACTTGCTATTTTTAAAAGGCCACTAGAGACAAACAAGCAAAACAATGATTTATGAAAATTTCAGTTTTAATTGCCTATGAATACGAATGTTTAGACTACGCGTTAAAGAAGTATCTGGTCATGTTGTACATACAACATTGTAAAGCTGATGAGTGGAAAAGCTTTAAACTGCTTTCTCCTCTTGTGCCTTTTAAAATATTACGATGTGATTTTCCTAGATGATGTTACGACATTGTTAGCTTCAGGAAATTGTATGATGTACGAAGCCTCACTCATGATACAGATAAAATGGACGTATTTCTACCAAACGGAACTATGTGCATTATGACGTGAGCCCTGTTATGCTCATATTCTCGTGGATCTCAGGGCTCATGTCTTAATGCAAAGAGTTCCGTTTGATAGAAATACGTTCAAATGAAAGCTCTGACATGAGTCGTCAATAATATGCTTCAGAAGGAATACCAGGACCAGGACCTCGAAGGAAGGTGTCTCCTATGAACGTTTCTAACCTTGATAAAGATGCCGACACAAAAAGAAGATAAAAGTGTCTTTCAAAGCTAAAAAAGTGAAACCTAATATTAACAGAAATGAATTTCCCGAAAAGAGGAGGACTTCGGGTATCAAAAAATACTAGGTAAAGGTGCTACCCTTTAAGCATTCTGTTGCTTTTTAAAATTCTTAAAAATTGAACCTGTATGATGAGCCCAATTGCGCAGTGTTTTTCATCTTGGAATTCAATTGTGGCAAAGATGAAAGCACAAAAAACCTAAAAAGACGAATAAGCGAGTTTCTAGTCTCTCCCCAAAATGCAACCCAACGACAATTTGTATGCCGTAATTTCTGCGGTACAATTTTCTCACTGACCGTTCAAAACGGCCCGCATAAATGCACAATGGTCAGCCGAAATGTCTTATGCATATTCAATCCATGGCTCGCGATCGTCGCAGAATTTGTCTATCTATCATTCTTGACCTTGGACTGTATTGCATGGCCTTGCGGCGATTTGTCTATTGTGAACTGAAGAATCATGTTTACCAATTAAAGAACAACCAGACGTGTCAGACGGATGCCTCAACGAGGGGCAGACACCTAGACTCGATAATTCGCATTGATTAATGTTTTAATGAGGATTGTTGCATTCGAACATACTATCCCAGGTTAAAGATCACGTTACTCAGCCCAAACTGGCAACTTTGAGAATAAAGTCGATATTTTGATCGACGCGATCTGGTGCGAAACTTCCTCAAAGCATTTTGCATACACGCTGCACTCGATTCTAAAGCTGCCAGTGCATAATACCAGTTCGATTGCCCGTGATGCAATTGTGAATCGCCTCTCAGTTTCGAAGTGAATCGTTCTCATTGTGATGATGCCATTATCCATCTCTACCCAATTATCGGAAAAGTTTGTGCCACCCGATTTATTGTGAAGCAATCCTTTCAGACGTATGAAGAAGTGGAATCAACCCCCTCATACGTTTTTATATATTGTCAATTTGAAAATAAATAAATATATTTATTTCTAAAGGGAAATGAGAAGTTGGCCTGACATGTGCGTCTGAAAGCTGAATTCTTTGCTAGTTGAATAGTGAGGGAATGGTTTGAATCTAAATGTGTGATCGTCAATTTAAATACTGCTACTGGACCAGAAGTACAAGTTTGATCTAAAGTTTGCTCTGATCTCAGTTATTATTTAAGAGTATATCTAAAGTTCGGAAAAAATCGAATATTTATAATTAAAGAGACTAACAAATGTGTTTTGATGTTGTAAATCTAAAAACTCTTAAACGTCAGATTCATCAAAATATCATTGTACATAAGTAGCTGTTTGTTACGTTTAAAACTCCAGTCATTGAGGTGCTCAATTATCAAGAAGAAACTTCTCAATTTATTAGGCTAACCGAGGTAAATTCTTCGCTACAGAAAATAGCCTGATTGATTACAAAAAAAAAGATTAAATCTCGAATAATTATGAAAAAATAAAATTTTTGAATTTTAATTATTAAAATATGGAAAAATTCTTCTAAAACTCATATCATCTTGAGGGCTTGGAATTCAATTGTTACTGCACTGACACTTTAAGACACACGCGGAGAATTGGAGTTTAATTCGACTCCAGTGCCAAAATTGGAATGGATTTTTGACTTAATATTTTCAGATGTTCCGAAATGACGATGTATGACATTTTATTTTTGATCCTACCAATATGTAAGCGTTAAGCGAGTTACTCACGTAGACTCGAATGGATTTCTATCTGAATGAAACTAAAACCCACCAACCTCGTTCCGGCATATACGGCCTTTCAGTAAGAAAAGTATGAGCCTAATGATCTTGGCAAACTTGCGGATCAAACTTCAGCTCTAGATTTCAATGGCGACCTTGTTCAATACATCAAAATGAGCCTCATTGTTGGCTCATAATTTTTGAGATTTTCTCCCGCTCTAGTCTGCTTAAAATTTGGGGATGCATTTTTCTATTTAACCACGAAACTAAAAGTCTATATGAGAGGCTCGGAGGACGAGGCGCATATGTGCAGTTTTCGCAATTTTGAGATATTCAAGTTTGAATTTTCGAAATTTCATGGATCTTCAGGGCGGAAAGAAAGTTCAAACTGACTTTTTGATGCTTAAAAATTGGAATTTTGAAGCGAAATTTTCTCAGAATATGCAGTAAGACTAGTTACTACTTAATTGAAATCACTAATATCTCAATTTTTTCAAAAACTGCACGTATACGCCATGTCCTCCAACCCCTCATATAATCTGTCGTATTAGCTAAAAAAAAAAAAAAAAAAAAAAAAAAAAAAAAAAACTTATAAATGACCTCAACGTAAGATGAGGTCCATCAGTAATCCCATCATCAAAGATAATTCGCCGAGGTCAGCTGCCCACCTAAGGTGCTGGTTGCAAGCTCATTGTCCCGTGACGTCATCCTTGCACTTCGCTGCATCATCCAATGCAATGCGAATATGATGCACTTGTGTACCGGGCCGAGCGCGTATCCTAATAAACGCGCGTCCGCAATCAGCCACCGCGCTGACCCTGCGAACTTGTGTACGTAAATCAGTCTGTTTATTGTGGGAGTGTGAAATAGACTTTGCTGCATCGCAGGTATTTAACCATTCTTAGCAGTTTTCCGCGTGTGTCTTCTCACTGCTAATTCATCGCTTTTCTAGTGCCAGGGGTACATACTGTATGCTTCAGGTTTGCCATTTACACCTCTGTTGTTTTACTGACTAAACTCTTAATTTGTATTGAAGAAATGCTGACTTACAACGCAAAAACGCCGTAAACGCCATTTTACATTTTTCGGAAACAACGTATCGTATCAAAAAAACTTGTGTACCTTGGGACAACGTTTTTAGAGAATTCTTTCGCAAATACTATCAAGAAGTTAACTTGAAAATTTGAAGTGCATGGGTAAACCAGTTTTTATTTTATAATGTATTATGTTCCAAAAAACGAGGGAAAATCTTGATGGATTTACGGCGTTCTTGCTCAGCACGGCAGAATGGGCTGAAGTTATGCACTGAAAAAAAAAATCTTAAATTTGCCGCCAAGAAGTATTTTTTCTTAAATCAAGAATTTTGCTGCTTAATATAAACTACTATTTTGTTTAACTCAAGCATTATTTTTGTTGTATCAAGAAAAATTCAGCTTAAATCAAGATAGAACCAATTCTTTGCGGCAAATTCAAGAATCATCATGCTTGAGCCTAGCACCTTTTTTCAGCGTAGAATAGTTATAATTAATTCTGTAAAGTTCAATGTCTTCAACTTATGCTTGTATACCTCAAGTTTTGAAATATATTTCCGGGTGATGAATTGTAAAATGGACATTTACCTGGGGACCTAACCCGCATTCGCACTAACTGAACACATTATCGCTCTCTTCACTCCGTAAAAGAAATTCTTCACATCGATCAACATATGGAACTTCAAGGAGTGTCGGTTGTGCCTATGCCCACGATGTAAAATTCAAACCACTTCATTTCTCTTTTACCGGGTGGATTTTCAATTTCTTTGCCTGATTCATCAGAATTTTTTCATTTTTTTTGCATTTAATCTCCTTAATGTATTAAAAATTTGTATTTTTATCGTTTTTTTTTTAAAAAAAATTGATTTTTTCCTCCCAAAAGTATTAAAATAAATATTAAAATAAATTAAAATTCGATTGTTCAATAAATCAAAGAGATTACATGTCAAATGAAAAAATACATTCTACAGAATCAGGGGGAAAAAAATTGATAGTCCTTTTAGTAGGTCCTGATAAAAAGGTCGGTACATGAAGTGATTTGATCTTACATTACTGGAATAGGCATGGAAAATAATTGACAACTACCCTTAAATTTAATTTAAAAATACCCATCAAAGGGGTGAAAATTGTTGAGACTACCAAGGATGAATTATTTTTGTCAAAAGTAACCCAGGTCTTAAGTTATCTAGAAGCGTCATGCAAACTGGGGAACATGATAAATTGAATATTCATCAGTGAGTTGAATAGCTTTTGCCTCCGGAGTTTCATTATTTGAGAAATGATTCATGAGGCTCCGAGACCGAATGTATACTCCGGCCCTTTAACTGCTCCACTGCTTTAAATTATCAAACTCAGTGTCGTAATTTGATGTACACTAAAAGAATTTAAGCACTATAACGAATTAAGTAAAAATCTAGAAGGCACTAGAATCCCTTGCACACAATACCTTTGATCTACTTCATATTCATATCGTTCTCTTTAGCCTAAAATAAATAAATACCATTTTAATTGTTGATGATTCCAGTTCAAATGAGCCTCCCCAAGTTACTTCGCTTTTTTGATTATCGTGCGAGGCAATGGCGTTTGGTGCTCGAACAGTTTCCATCGCAGCTTTCCTGTGTGTTACAACCGTGATAGCAGAACCATCTCCAGTACAAGAGCAAAACAGGAACCTCAACCCTCCTCAACAATGGGTGGCAAGAGCCATCGCAGAACATATATGGAACTACCAACTCACTTCGGAGAAGAACCCAGAATGCACCCGTCATTTCAATATCTATCGAGAGCATCTCAGTAACTTCACACTGTGGGCAGTTCAAAGTAAGACTATTAAAAGAAGGAAGAAAATCAAACACCCCAGGATTATCTTCCTGATAACGTGCTTTTCTAGAAAACTAGTGAATGCCTAGATTAGCGTTACGTAGAGTGAATGTTTACATGCTAATATGAACCGATTTCCATCCATTTTCCGCGTTTGTGCTCAACGGGATGAATACTTTTGTTTCACTCCATATTACTCAATCCCTTCCATTTCATTAAATATTTTATGATAAAATCCGCAAATATATTTCGATTTTATCATCAACAAGGAGGCTACGCCCGCGGACTGCTTCTCCCCTCTTCCACCCCCCCCCATGCGCGATGCGCTTCTCGCCTTAGGCCACAGGCGTTGTGCATTTCACGTTACTCACATGATGTTATACTATAGAATAAGATAAGTTTCGAACACAGTTAAGGTTTAGAAGCGTACTTGTATTACTGGATAAATACCAAGGGGAAGGGGGGGATAAACCTATGGTACGCCGTGTCAGAGGGAGGAAACGATTAAACACATCTTACATCCCTAGGTGACCTATTTAACCCTCTCAAAACTTCGAATGCAAATTGAGGTGTTATTTGATCAAATCATTTCAGCTTTCACATAACTTCATTTTTTAACAGTGCTTCATTGAAATGTAAAACAAAACGCCCCAGCGATTATCTAACTATTATCTCTAAGCTTCTCCCTTCTTTTTGAGAAAATGATGTGGGGGCCGGCGGGGGAGTCGTCACTATGAACGTTACTTGTGTAGTTTACTATAGGGGTTAGTGTGTGTGTTAAGTCGCGTGACATAGTGGAGGGAAGTAAAAATGCATCACGTGGTATGCTCTCTTAAGGTTGGGGTTGCACGTCGTTTATAATTGAGTCCTGCCACAATGTCATTTATAAAGGTGGGGCTCGGAGGACGAGGCGCATAAGTGCAGTTTTTGCTATTTCGAGAAATACCTGTTTGAAGTTTCGAAATTACATGAATCCTTATGACAGAAAGAAAGTTCAAACTGACTTTTTAAGCTTAATAAGTAGAATTTGGTTGCGAATTGTTCACAGAATATGAATGGAGACTAGTTTCACTTGAAATTATTGATATCTCAAATTTTTCAAAAACTGCATTATGCGCCTTGTCCTCCAAGCCCCTCAAGTACTCTTAAACATTTTGGAGGCCGTCTATATAAAATGGACTGCATTTTGCAAAAAGGAACCAGGAGCGTTGCAATGTTGCTAAGATCGAGCAACTTCTTTTGTCTTGGAAGAAAAACCTGATTATCCATTAACAGAGTCTCTATTTTACTCGCTAAAAACTGTAAATTTATGACAAAAATTACCCTGTAAATTTCATATATTTTTCCATGGGTTCAGTAATTTCATTGCAAAGGATGAAAATGCACAATCTTAGCTTCATTGCAATTCTTCGGGTTCCTTTTCGCAAAATGCAATCCAAATAAAACATCAGGCGCGCACAGAGAAGGCGGATGGAAGGCTACCACGCAAATGCTCGAGTAAAGGAAAGTGGGGAATAGACGGACGATTGGAGGAAGGGGGGTGAAAATATCCCGAAAAGAGTGCTTTACGGTATGGTGTCTAAAATATTTTGCCCCGTTGTAAATCATTCCTTCGTAAGCTTTGGGAAATAACTGCTGAAAGACCGCCATGCCATGAGATGCGCCGCACTTACGAGAGCGCTGCACGAGTGTACGAGCGTCCATCAGGAAAAATCGCCGACATTGAAAAGCTCCGTCGTACGAATTACCTTGAACTTGATATTGCAAAATTACAACTCGTGTGTAGGAAAGTAAATAATTAACTAATGCGGTTGAAGTTGTCACGTCTGTTGGTTAAATGGAATGATTCTCAGCCTTAGGTCCCGTTCCGATTAAGTCATGCACTTTGCATTCGCCGTTTTCCGTGTGCGTGGCTGGGTCTGTCTACAGACACATGACAAATAGGGTAGGGATTCGGCAACCTGATTTCTCCTCTCTTAAAATGTTATTTCTTTAGTTTTTCAGGAATTTTAACTTAGAACCCCTTACCCACATTGCCTATATCGACGGCGTAAGTCCGCAATCACATATCTCGTTCGCGGTGTCTGAAAATCTCCGCCTCTATGTTTTTTTTTTTTTTTTAAAGGAGAACAAATTGACATCATTCCTTGAAGTTTTTGCAGAATTTTCTTCGCACAGAGAAGGAAAATCACGTCAGTGTTTAAGCATTATCATTGAGTGGTTTTCCGTTTAAAGAATAAAGTATGTCAGGAAGTCTACAACGTCGCAAACCGAGTTATATGATTGCCGACTTACACCGTCGACATGTGCCACCTCTGCTTCATTGCGAATGTCTTTCTCCGCTACTTTTTGTCGTATCCTAAACGAAAAAACGTAACTGTACGGCAAGGTTGCAAAATTGACTCAAGCAATTACATTTTTCAAAGGTGTATGGCCGTGCAGCTCTTGTTCAAAATTTGGCTGATTATTACGTTTAATTTCAAGAAGAATTGATGAGTTTTAGTTGGAAACGTGCAACGGTTTCTTATTAAAAATACAAAATGTGAGTGAATATTTGGATAATATGGAACGTTGAAATGTAATTACGTCCTTCTGTCTTGGAAACGATGATGAAACCTAAAAGAAACACTCGTCTCGCTACACTTCAAAAGCGCTGCGTGAAAATTGTGTAAAAAAAACTATGGAATGACTTACTTCAAAAATTAAAAAGCACGTACGGACAGCAATGCCTAATCAGAGAAGTAGTTTCACGATATGTTTCATGATGATTTTACTGGGACTTGGAAATAGAGCTTAGAGTCCAATTCCATCGAATATGTTTTAATATTTTCTTAATTTGTATTTACTTGCTCGCAAGTTTATTTCCTATCTAATTTTTACAGTTGAAATACAATGATATATTATATAAAATATTTGTAGTATCTTATACTACAATTCTTACTGAAATTTATAGATAGTATCAGACAATAGTGAATATTTAACCAATAAGTTGAATTTCATTTATTTATTTTTCCTTTGTGATTGCATTCTTCCAGTGTTAGATGCTTCAGATGTAGTTCCAAGTGGACTTCTGGCAGCCGACATATTCAAGCTGGGTAATTTTGAGGAATGTATTAATACAAAAGTGCCGACTGAATATGGATTTACCGCTCAGTATTGTTTGCCTACTATTAATTTTAATCGGACGAATCTGGAAATATCCACTAAACATGAGAACGAGTGGGAAGATCCAGTGTGGATCAAAATCCTGGTAATAATGACTTCATGATCATAATTTTTATTCAAGTCTTTGGTTTCTGTAAGATAAATTGATCATTTTTTTTTATTTTTATAGTATTAATGAGGAGGAGAATCACATTTCTATTCCAAAAAATATGTTTTAGGATACCGAAAAATCATTCAAAATTGTCAATATTTTTTTTTTGAGCAAGAGATATATTATAGATGCAGGCTTCCTCACTATATTCCCGACCTCGGGACCAATCTTTTCCATTGATAGGACTAGAAAAAAATGCAAATCCTAATTAATGTTGGAGCCTCTCAGAGTAAATGATATTCATCTGAGGAAGTAGTCCTTAGAGAAAGTCAATCATTATTTTCAAAAACGTCAGGTGATTTTTCCACCCAATTCGGATCGTTATTTTATACCTAAATCCAATATTGCCATGAAAATCAATAAAAATATATTGTGATTTCATGGCCTTGTAAAAATTTTTGCAGGCCAAAATCAAATTTGTATTCGTGTATGACAACTCTAGCTCACTCTTTTGCTTTCAAAATTTTGCGAACTTATTCAAATCTTGTCAATTCTTAATCCTCGATAGTGGGGCTCTTTAAAAAATAAATAAAAAAACATCTCTAAATGTAGGTGTAAATTTAATGCAATTCGTTCGGTTTTACTTTGAAATCATGTAGATAAATGGAAGGAAATACTTGTAGTAGTTACGTTATACTTAAATAAAATTCCTTAAAATAAATTGTAAATAAATTCTAGACTTCCTATGCTCAGCCAGACGGATTTTCTCTCCAATCTAATGATAATCATGATCATCATTCTAGTCATGATAGTGTTTTTATTGCACAAAAATGCACAGAACATATAATCATTGAGCATTTATAATAGAATAAATAAAACATTCTCATCCAAATTTATATTAATTTTTTCAGAATTCTAGAGATCGCAGAAAAGCACCAAAAGACCGTTTTACATTTGCTCTGTGCATTCCGAGTACTTGTTCATCAGAAGATCTGAAAATATCTCTGCAAAGCTCACTGGAAGTGCCACTCAGGGAGGCAGCCTACGATATTAATGTGACTTTAGATAACTTACTATGTACCACAATGGAGGGACCACCAGGATCTCTTGGTAGCATGATCATGAAGTAAGTATTTTTTCCATGAGCGCATAATTTTCGAATGGATTTAACAATTGCCCCAATTTTCTCTTTCTATATGAGAGATGCAGAATCGGTAGTATCAAAAGTCTTGCAAAAAAAAAAGAAGAAAACATGGAAACGCATACAAATCAGCTCATCTTTTGAAGATGGAGAGAATAAGGAAAAAGATAGAAACTGCATTTATCAACGTAGTTTTAATTTCCATATAATAGTCGTATATCCTTATTTCTTTTTACAGGTATTTCCTGGTTGGACTGACGGGTTTATTCCTCTTTTGTTCCATCACGGATCTAGTTCTGGCTGGTGCTCGTGGAGATGATTATGATATCACGAATTTCTCTTTTTCAAAAGCTGTGGGTAAGAGACGCATGCATATTTTTCCTCGTACTTTGTTGTTACACATGATATAACACTTTTAAAATAAAATTACAGGACTATATTTTCTATAGGAATCACTTTAATGTACTAAAGCCAGGCGTTATTAGGCTATCCTCTTCCTATGGCATTTTTTCCCTAACGCAAAGTCCATTGTTTCTTCATTCATCGTCTTGCTTAAATAATTCCTACTTTGACGAGTGAAAACCACAGGATTTCAAACACTAGCGGTAAAATAACACGTATTCTCTGATCACCTCATGAATAGTTGACATCCACTATATGGCCGATACCAATGGAAATGACATGACGAAGCAGTCATTGGAACGCCTGTTTGCAACAATCAGCATAGACTTAGCTTTGTGGCATTTTCTCCGAATATTAACGAATTTAAGTTCTTGTTCTTGGAGCGAGTTTCATTGTCAAATCATCTTCACAGTGTGATGTGTCTTCGATCCAGCTAGCGGTATTTACCGGTATTCGAATAGATATCGTTAATGACTCTCGCATTGCGTTTGATGCAACGCAAGAAGTATTCATGCAGTCTTGTAGGCGCTACTATGCGCCCGACGCCGACCGCGCTGTTTGGCGCAATGCGTGAAGTATTCCTGCAGTCTTGCAGGCGCTGATATGAGTTCGACGCATTGCCGACCGCACCATGTTTGGCGCGATTATTTGAACTCGCGATAGGATAATCGCGGCATCGGACAAAGGGGCTTGAAAGGTCCATGTTGTGTATCGACGCCGTATGAACATTCCAACGTTGCCTCGTTTCTCCCTATGAAATATTTTCTCTGAGAAAAGTTAGGAAAGTTCTGTATGTTCGTTTTTTTTAGATTGAATGGACCATTAAAGAAAGTACGAATTTAAGCACTCTAATTCATGATTCATCACTAGAATTTTACGTAGAACACGATTCGCGCGACGAAAACTACTGAAACCAACTTGTAGCTAAGATATTAACGTATTCACTGTCCATCGGCTACGAGAAATTTGAATTGCCGGTCACAGGAAAAACAAAACCCTACGCGAGTCAAATTTCGCACTACGACGGCTTTAGTGGACTACTCAATCGAGCATTGTTTCTTTCCCACGCTGTGTTGTTCAAAGTGTGAACAACTTGAGCTGAGTGTCAAGATTTAGGATGCCAGACTGTCAAAATGATGTTTGGCGTGCAATTTAAGCCAAGTAAATTATTCTTTCTTACATGCCGGGAAGGTTAAACTTATTCATAAAAAACGGTATCATCACGGTTAGGAGTTAATCTAAGGTTAGGATTTCGATCCCTCGAGCTCGACGTCGAGTGATCGATATCCTCGTTGCCTATTGGTGTTCAAACCGCGAGCCTGCAATCCTGGGATCGAAGGATTTTGGAAATGTTCCTGTTTTTTGTTCACTCATTTGTTCACTCATTTTTTCAATTTGTTTAAATGAAGGCCATCGGTGGACCGGGACGGTCAAGCCCGTACCGCCCGCGCGCCGCGCTCGGATCGACTTACGGAATACGGCTGACGGAATATTACATATTGGTATGATGATGATGATGATGATGATGATTATGATTATGCTTATTAAACAATTAAAAATATCGTAACATGAAACATGATAAGTCTTATCTGTCGACTTTAGTATTTGTTCTATGCCACCGTTGCAGACTTATCGTTAGTTGCACTATACTTTTCCAAAAAATAATTGCAGCCCACGGCAAGCGTTACTTTTTTCCAAAGAAGCGTATTTTTCAATTCAAAGAAGATCATCTCACTTTTTTATTTCATACTGTGTTTTAGGGATTCAGAAATGGCTTCTACCTTTTTCGCTCTGCAGAAACGTCTTTCAACTAACGGCACAACCAACTTCTCCAGATGAATATAGGATTTTGCATGGACTCAAGGCCACACTAATGATGTTCATTATTATGGCGCACATCGCGCTGTTTCGATGTGGGAAGGTACCTTTTGTCAACTGGAGCTACACAGAGGACGTGAGTAATAATTGGATTGACACACTTACACACCAAATCACCGTGCGGGAAGTACACAAATACCCATAAATTTTGATTATTATTAACCCCCTATGGCATAAATTAATTTTAGATATCAGATTCTGGAGGACATTAATCTATTTTGGAGCTTGCATAAAAAACATAGAGGACCGTATTTTTTTCAAAATTTTAAAATTTTGGGAATCATTTGATCAAAAAAGAAAAAACTAATGAAAATTTGCTACATCATTCCACAGGGGCAAGATTCAATTTTAAAGACCCCACAAATACATTGTTACGAATTCGTAACGCTATGCCATACACGATTAATCAAAGCAGTAATGCAATACCCGATATTAATTAGAAGTAAGACAGTGAAAATCTTTAAGATTGTCGTTCTCTATGGGTGACTATTTTTCAAACATATCAAGAATCAATATCCTCGAATCATTGTAACAAGTCTGTTTTTGCAACTTGTGTTTCTCTACGTCCCAAACATTTTCTACGTACATATATGCCGCTTTCATGGCGCTCTTAAACGCTCTGCGACACCCAGCAGCCAAAGTCTTCTATCCTCCCGAAGCCCTTCGGGGAGTTGGCACTCCCTCATTCCCTCTAAAATTAACCCCCTTTCGCCGGGCGTCCGCATCCGGCGTCCCCGGAAGCACAACTAGATGCATTTCACTCATCCGCTAAACTCTCAACATCATTTTTCTGTTCTGTATTTCAGTTGGTCACAACCGTTACTTACAAAATGTGACCTTTTGCAGAAAATGGCGCGCTCCAGCATAACATACATAATCGGAGGACTTCTCCCGGACGTGTTTTTCTGTATGACAGGATTTACAGTCTGCCAATCAATGCTCAATCAGCTGGAAAAGGGCTCTTTTAATGTTCGCACCCACATCGCAAATAAATTGCTAAGGTATGATACGCATTAATGAGACATACTAATCCATTGAATCCATCACTGTTTTGAATTAAATCAATATCAGAGAAGATCACGAAAAGATTTTACAAATTTTGGTTGATCGATGTATGAAAAACACAGCTATATCACCACAAAATAAGTGTTTTCTTCAGGTGATATCACTACATTTTTATTTACATTCTCAATTACTACCTTGAAAGAAAAAGTTTGCGGTCGGTTACGAAAAAAATTTTGCTCCTTTAAGTATCAAAAAATATTACTCGTGAACATATATGTGTCATCGAGAATACTTGCCATCGACTTGGGAGAATATAGAAACTTTTTGGTGTAGCTACTTACAGGTAGCTCATTAACTCAAGAAATCTTAAGCACAACTATTTCTGGAACATTTTTGTGTTTTTCGTTTTCAAAAGTCATCTTGTTGATGTTGCACATTGTAATTTATAGGAGTGATCATTGTATCACGAGGGTCTATTTGTTCCAGGGTCCTACCGCCGTACATATTCGTCATAGCGTGCATGATTTTCGTCCTACCGTACCTGGGTAGCGGACCCATATGGAGAACTTTTATTGAGCCAGAGGTGGAGTTTTGTCGAAATAATTGGTGGCTCAATCTGCTCTTCGTTAATAACTATTTTAGAATAGGCGAATGGGTAAGTTTGGTCATTGACCTATGACCTAAAAAATTGCCCAAAAAAAGCGAAGTCACAAAAATGTTTTGCAGATAAAAAAGTAATTTTGTTAACATTCCATTTTCTTCCGGAGAAGTCAGTATGACTCATGCAGCTCATTACATACAATTTTTCGCTACGTCAGTACTTGGAATTTTATGAACTCGTGTATAGCATAAATTTAAAATAAATTTAATATTTTGAACAATTAATTTGTCGGGTAGTGTCTGTATTGAGTCTACATTTAGTTTAAAAAAAATTATTTTAATTTCATGCCGGGTAAGCTTCTATTGATTTTTGAAGACTTTTTCATCTCCAGTTTTTCCTTTATTTTTCTCAATTCTTACAGTGGAATTTTATTATTGCCCAAAAACTGTTTGTAATTATGCATGTTTGCGTCTGAGACCGTATCGATTCATTTGGGACCCAAAGTTAATTTTTCGAATTCCTGTTAGCTCCATTTAAACTATCGTACTTTATTGCGTAGAATTCTACACACGGTGACTGACAGGAATAAAGCTCTGACGAGCAAAAGATTATTTATCTACTTATAACTTACCCGAAATCACTTTACTAACGTGCATCACTCTATGTTTCAGTGTCTGCCCCAATCTTACTACATTGCTGCTGACATGCACTTTTTCATAGTAGGTTCCTTAATAGTGTATCTTTGCTGGCGATGGGCACCATACAAATTGGTAATATTGGGTTCTGCGCTCTTCCTAACTTTTTTACTGCCTTTTTTGACCGTTTTCCGGAATGAGTATAATGGATTCCTAAGATTAGACTACGAGTAAGTTGAACGTAAGTTGGTTAGGAAGTAGTATTTAAGTCACCGAAAAAAAAAGGAAGTTAAATTAACATTCTGAATGTAAAAAAAGTGTGCGAGAACTTATAAATGCTGAATTACCCGCCACAGCACTTAATTTTACATCTTGGCATTGCTGAAGTAACTGCTGTGGCAGGTATTTTAGCATTTTGTAAGTTCTCGCACACTTTTTTTACATCCAAAATGTTAAATTAACTTCAATTTTTTTTCGGTGTAATTTCTGCATCTCAATCAGTGGTTACTGACTACGTCTTGAATCATTTAGACAGTCAAACATTTAGACAGTAAAAATCTTACGATTTTTCCAATCATTTCATCGCAAAAAAGCACAGTGAAGCTGGCGAGAGAAAAATAGGATAATAAAATACTTCTGCATATTCTGCTATATCAGAGCGGAACGCCTAGATTCAGACATGATTTCAAAAGTGAAGATTGTTCTCACTTAGTGCTGTGATAGTTACGTAAGTTACCAGTTACTAATACGTAAAGCAAAATAATTGAAACCATACTGCGGATAAGTGACATTTAGTGACTTGGCAGTTTCGAAACATTGAAAAGCAAGGTGCCTATTCGTAAAACGAGTAAATCTTCTGCAGTTTTTAAAGCATTTTTATAAATAATATAATTTTTTGGTTACTAAGCTACGCATTCCACTTTAGATATTTTCTGCAAAATGATTCAAATTCACTCAAATATCGGTACCTAATGCAAAGTTTTGAAGTGCTCACTTCGGCGAATTCTGATCACTGTGTTGTTTAATCTTTTTAAAAGTTTAGATAATATAATGATTCAGTACTGCTTTATTAGCCACCTATTTTTGCAACTTATATACTTTATGCCTTATTATTTATCCTACGCTTTTCACATCGCTTTCAGATTCTTGACAGATCAATTTAGGAAGCAACCGGAGGTTCAACATGTTTACATGAAGAGCCATTGTCGATCTGGTGGATACATCGTTGGCATAACAGCAGCATTTGTCTTGAGGCACTTCAAAAAAACTGACTGCAAATTGTCAAAGGTAAGAACTCCGGGGACAGTATCAAGGCAAAATGTTCTGAATACAGTTATATTCGTCACAGTACCAAAACGTGCACATTGTTTTCCCACAAACTATTTTATATTGCAAAATATTACTGATGTCATTTCGAGCCTTTCCTGAATGTTAGACATTATGGTGCTTGTATAAAAAATAAAACTGATCGGTTAGTCACACATAAACCACAAGATCAAGATTGTGTACGGCTGGTTGCAGGGCATGTCGTGGGCAGGCGTTTTGTTCGCTGTCTGCATCCTCTTTGGAACGCTGCTCGCAAAATACGTACTTTACAACTCATCGCCAAGCCTTATGATCCGCGCTATCCACACTGGATTGAGCACTCAGCTAATTGGCGGCGCATTCATGATTGTCATCGTCATCCAAATAACCTCCGATCTCGGTAAATGAAAAATTATCTCATTATATGTATGTATTAAGTCTTACCGTCCCAGCTCCTGGTAGTCAGGTACTGAGGCTAAAAATTAGGCCAGCCGTAATTAACAAAAGCAGTCAATATGGCACGAATTAATTCATGTTTACGAAAATGTATGTACCTACGTAATGACTCCATAGTATCCACAGAGAAATTGTGGCTATTCCCTAGAATTAAGGGGAAATTCAAATTCAAAGTACGAATGGTAATGTCATGAGTTATTCATTACACTTCAAACTTCCTTCAAATCATTTTTACTCTTAATTTCAGGAGCTTGGAACAAAATATTGTTCACTCAAGACGTGTTTATACCGTTTAGTAGAATTACATACTGGTTATACCTTCTTAACGTCCCCATCGTTATGGCCCTGATTGGTTCCCTGAAGACACCCATACACATGACTTACGAAGAGACGGTGAGATTTTTTGATCTTGAAAATTACTCTTTTTTTCAATTTATGAAGTTAATTGTATGTGCATGATGAACCCCCCCCCCCCCCCAGAAAAAAAAAAATTAATAAATAAATCATGATTCATAACTTAAATTATAAAGAGAGGAAAATGATGATATGAACATAATTTGATGGATATTTCCGTCGAGAGTTATCCTCTTTCTGTTAACTTCATTCAAAGTCCTCTCCGAAATTTTAGATAGGTGAGATGACATGAAAGATAAGAAAAGAAATTCTATATGAGCACAAGATTCTAAGCCATTTTATAGACTTTTTTGTTTTTATTCTAGGGTTTTTTGGGCCGACATCTGGGAGACTTCTTTCCTATCTACGCTTTCGCAATATATGGCTATTTAACAATTGAAGCGCCAATTACTCACCTGAAACCAAAAATTCTGCGATTCATCTCAGGATCTCCGTCCCCAACCGATAAAAAGAACCAATGACATTGATGTTTGTTTTTCGTTTTTCCTAATAAAAATTATTGTAGATATTCATTTTTTGTGAAATCCATGGACAGTTTTTGACATTGCATTGTTATTCAGTCGTGACAGCTTCCGTTCTATTCTCGCCGGATTCTAAGGTATGTGAGTGCACACTTATTTTCCCTCGAATTTCATCATAAAACACTGTCTTGGGTTCAAAATTGAGAAGCGTGCTTCTTTTAACTTTTCCAAGTCCGGTTTTTGGAAGCTCCGTGAGGAAAACGATACCACCTCTAAGCTGTTTAAAAGGAGCCACCATCTCTGCAAAAATGAAATCGGAATACAAATTATTCACTCGGTTAATTCTAAAAAAAATCTTATTCATTTGCGACAAAATTCACAGCCGCAAGCCTGAAATAAGAGAAACACACTCGAGAGAAACTCAAGTAGACAAAATTGAGCCGATTGTTTAAGTCTCGTAATTGTATCTACTCTTCTTTTTCGCAAGATGTTTTGGAGACCTCAATAGTTTTATTTCTGGATTTCGACGAAAAGTATTGGAATACTCTGAGAAATACACTCACAGGACCGTCCATAAATCACATGAGACATCTAAGGGGCTGGAGGGCGGATGAGGAGGGTTTCTACCAGTGCCTCGCAAAATTAGGAAGGAATTGAGAATTATTCTCGCGAAGGAGAGAAACAATACTTGCTCCGTTTGAAAAGTTTGAAAAGTTTTCCATTAAGCTCAAAAAAAAATTGAAAATTTTTCTGAGCTTAATGGAAAACTATAGTGTCTAAAATATTTCCAGATAACTTCCTCTCTGAAAACACCTGTTTTTGTTTTTTAGTTGTTAATGATGCTTAATTCAATTAACTTGACTACATGAATGATATAATACAATATCGATCTGCTATAATATAATGTCTCAAGTTCGCCTTCCTCAAATGAATAGATGGTGATTGGAGGGGGGTCGGAGGGTCATGATTTACCTTACGAGTTTCTTACGAGGTTTATGGATATCCCGAAAAGTCGTAAAATGAAAAAGTCAACACAAGCTGAAGCTTGAATTTCAAGTTCAATGACTGATCCTTCTCGCCCGCACAGTCAATATTTGTGGCGAATTGATTGAGCTACAAATACTCATATGTCTGCGTATCGATGGTGATCAACAACCGATAAGTGTTGTAATCACATTTACCTTTCATATAATCATGGATGTCCTGTGCGATAACCTTAGAATGATCAAGAGGGACAATAAACGCCCTAGGCACCTCTCCAAATATCTCATGAGGTACCCCAATTACTGCAGCCTCTTTTACATCCGAGTGAGAGATCAAAACTGTTTCCAGTTCACAAGGTGAAATCTGAAAAGTCCGTCAAAATCTATATTGCTTCAATTATGCATTTAGTACCAATCATTTAAAATCCAATAGCCAGTGGAGCAACTCATCAGTTGTCAGGATAATGCATCTTTAAAAACCTATACAGTCTTGAGAGGCAACCGTGGGTATAATAGCCATACGGTTATAGGACATTTCGTCAACGATTTTTTGTCCGCGCACCTGTTTTTCCAGTAATTTACGTCCACGCGTTTTTTCGGCACGGGAGTTTTGGTCCACGTGCCAGTTGAGACCCAAAGTTAATTGACCCACATGTAAATACAAACGACAATTGCACACGACGTTTTTGGATGAAAATGTAAAATGTCTCGGAAGAATGAGGGTTTGCTTATTTTTTTGTTTTGTCTGTTTGGTCCAACGAAGAATAATATAATAGTTGAAAGTTTTGGTAAAAATGGGGGAGCGTCCATATTCCATGAGACAAAATTCACTAAAACTCTCTACACCTCTTTGGTGTAGCAGGACTTAATTATCTTTCAAGATTTTCCCACCTTGTTATGCTTGAACCGGATAAAACTCTATATTTGCCTCAGCTAAAGGCTCTTAGATTTTTCCAGTGTACGATTAGTATGTATCTTGATTTATTTTGCGAGGAAAGATCTGTGCTTTTAAAGGGTGCCTCTCATTCTTAATACGTTCAATTTCCTATAATACTGTGCAACACCTCTGTTGTGAAATAGTTACTTCAGGCGCCGCGCCGCCGCACGGCGGGCAGGCGGCCAGCGCGAAACGAGCATTGGCGCCTACAAACCTAAGTGGATACTTCAAGCATTGTGCAATGCGCGAAGTATCCACTTAGGTTTGTAGGCGCTAGTGAGCCTCTTGTGCTAGCAGCACGGTCGTATACTCGCATGGTCAGCGTTTTTTAACTCATGATTTTGAAATGTTTTCACACGCTGCATTGATTATTCTCATTTAAATTGAGGGGGGAAAATATGTGTCAATTTATCAAAGGAGGATAATAATATAATGTGTTTTTTTTTTTTTAAATATTGGTGGTTTCGTGTCAAATTTAATGATTTCCAAAGCACTTTAATTTTTTCTTTCATATATTGTGCTTTTATCGTGCTGCAGCGAGGTGAACGCGCAACCAAACGCTCAAAATCAATACCACCTACCCATACCTTTCACCGCCAAAAAATAAGCTAGGAGGTTAGGTATCCTCGGTAAAGAGTAACGGCTATTCTTCCAATGTTAAGATGAAAGTAATTTTTTTGGAAATACTCGTTCTGTGCAGAGGTAAGTGTTTATTGCAGTAGTTAATTGTCTTAAATGAGAGTATCGTAGGAAATTTAAGTAAATCAAGCATCCAAATCATAATTAAAGTCAGACTTTCTCACATGGGCCAGCTTCCAGTTAAGTGAAGTTTTGTTTTTCTTTTACGTAATTTTAATGATTTTAAGTCCTTCATTTTCATGCACGCGTTTGAATTTGAAGTTGTGGTGAAACTTTTGCACGTAATTTTCATTACGATAATTCATTCGTTTCAGCCGTCCCCATAAGATGCCATGTATTTTGTTCTTTACCACCGATTCCTAACCTCCTTCTGCGGTGGAAGGTATGGGTAGGTGGTATTGTCAAAATTTGACGTATTTAACTCTAAAAGATCGATGTACAAATGGGTTAAAACTAAAGATTGCGTGCTTCTTGGTTTTTTCCCCTTTTTTCTTCATTTTTGCAGTTTCTGTCGGCACGACTGCAGCTTATTGAGATTAATGTCGCTTGGAAAAGGTTGTACAAATATTTGTCACGTTTTAAAAATATAAATGTTTTCAAAATGAAGTAATAATTTCGTATAGAAAAAATTAAAAAAATAAAAAAAGTACCTATACTTATATAAGGTATATTGTACATCGAATATTTTAAGGATAGAAATAAAACCAAATATTCACCAGTGACAATTTAAAAAGATGATTAAAAAAGAGAAAGTAATAACACTTCCTTTAGAAAATTAGCAACCATAACAATACCTCCTTCTCTCTCTATTTCTCATTTCGATATAGTCAATATAATTTTACATACCGACTAAAATATAACGCTTTGAACCAAGTCACCGTTGCTTATTTTACGTGCGGGCGTGAACTACTGGACAAAAAAGAAGCGCAGACAAAAAATCGTTGACAAAATGTCCTGAAACCAGCCATACTGAAGGAGAATAGCTGAACAAACTTGTGATGACAAGATTTTGTGGCCAAACGATCCATTGGGTAAAAAATATCATGCTTGATTTAAGCTCTGTAACTTTATTTTTGTGTAAAGAGACCTATTTCACAGAATTTCGTGATTTTTCTACCATCAATAAGTGTTTATCTATACCTATAGGAACTACAGGATATTACATGCTGTAATATTCTAGAGTTTCGCTCACCAACATCAAATTTTTAAATTTTGATCAAGACCGAAATTCCATTGCTCCGAACAGCTCGCCGGGGTACAACCGCGTAGTGGCCGGATAACGCCTTTCTTTCACCGTTCCTTTATTTCTTCAAATCCTCGATTAAACTAATTTGATAAGTGTAAGTGGTCAAAATTCCCTTTACAAGTAATTTGAATTCTAATTCCAGATCACGAAGAATTTATACAGTCATTAAGTCGGCAAATCAAATTAATTGATCCTACATTATCTTCCTCAGAGGGAATAAACAAAAAAAAAGTTTAGCGACGCTGTTTTCTTTTCCTGACGCGGCGTTAATATACGATCAAAGGAAGAAGATTTTTTCAATTTAAAAAATTTAAAAAATTTAAACTCGCGTTTACCTGTTGTCCTTGATATTTAATGATATTTTTCATTCTGTCAACATAGTAAAAATAGCCAGCTTCGTCGAGAGAACCAAGATCACCCGACCGCACCCAGCCACCAGAGCAAAAGATCTCAGCTGTGGCTTCGGGGTCATTCACATAGCCTTTAGCCACCATTGGACCCTTGAAGCACACCTCGCCTACTTTATTTATGGGCAAATCATCCCCGCTGTCCTTATCGATTATCTAAAACATTGATAAGATAGCAAGAACCAAAGGAGTCATGACTTAAAATTAAGTGTAGGGACAAACGCACAATAACGCACAATACGCATCCGCACAAACGTACTTCTTTCATTTAAAAAAAATATATTCCTGTGCTAGCAAGGACACACGTAGAGCGACGCGTGCTCACTTGTTATACAGTTGGCGCGGTTTCAATAGTAGCACCTAGAGGCAACTATTCGTGCTCGATGGATGTCCGCGTTGCATACTCAAAAAAGTGAAGGCGCTCTGGCGTTATTGACCTTCATTACGGTGTGGCTAGCCGGATTTGATGTCACCAGCAAGATTTTGGGCCAATGAAGTAGATTAGGCACTCTGCGCAGAGAGAATATATCAATGGCTGAAAAGCGACGGCACCACGTATTTTCATTAAGGCGTTTAAAAACTTCTGCTCCCAGTTTATTTGTTTGAAGAGGGATAAGTCAGCAGCTTACGCTTCACCTCAAAACGTTGTCTAGAAAGTTAACAAATGCATGGTCTTTAAAATATGTTGTCCCTGGCTCTGCGTCACCAAACGATTCTCACTACATGTCACTCAATAATTTTGAGTCATCAAGCTCACCTTGCATTGCATCGTTTCGACAATTTTTCCAATGCATCCCGGTTTCTGGCGCTCAAATTCCCCAAAGGCTACGATGAAAGTTGCCTCGGTGAGGCCATACGCTTTGTAAATTCGAACCGGTTGGTGAAACTTCTTCTTAAGCTTCTCATGAGCCTCTTCGCAAATGGGGGCCGCTGCCACCCAAATTTGCCGCACTGATCGCAGGTCCTCGAAGTTGACTAGGTCTGATTTCAACAGGGACAACGAGAGAGATGGCACTATGTGCAAATGGCTCACCTGCAAAAAGTTTCGAAAAGTTTGGTGGAAATGATCTAATACTAGTTGAATTCATAAATTCTGATAATATTTTAGTAAGAGAATCATACTAATTAAGTGACAATAGCATGAGATCATCAGAACAGCTATAAGATCGCTGTCGATTAGTCAGGCATGTGGATTGTACTGGAATATGAAGTACATTTTGCCTGTTTTAGAGGAATGGATTGCGTTTATATATACATTATGATAAAAAATGATTTGATTAATTTCAATAATAATTTGTCTAGTTTCTTTAAGCTCTTCCAAATTCTTCTTGTGCAGTTTTCTTGTTAGGCGAAAAGTTTCTACGGATCTGGTTGTCTCCTGGAAATTTTAAAACCATCTAGTGCGACACACTCACAAACTTTGCCAAAACTTTGGTATTGTGTAAGGATATAGGGCGAATGGGATCTAAAAGTTACAGATGATGCATAGTCACTGAAAGCCGTCTAAAAGCAGATCAAGAAAATTAATACATCAAACAGAAGCTATGCACGCGTATAAATGACTAAACGTTATCTCCCTTGATTTAAGAGAGAAATTTGAATCTGAAATGCATGTACATAAGCATCAATTCAACATATATCCGATATATTTAAATTATTACTGTTTTTAGTGATTAAGTAAACCTCGAGTCATCCATCAAAACTTGTAGTTTCGCTTATTTTCTACGTCCTCGTGGAATTGCTCAGAAGGATCCCTCGTAAGTCTTCCATTCTCTACGGTCCTGATTCAACTCATAATCATATAGAGCGAAATTTGGCTACTTATCTTAGCTGAAGTTAAATATTTTGAAAAACTGACTCACTGAGAATTCTTTAATTACATTGATCCACCTGAGGAATGAGAAACTTGTCATGTTTACCAATACCGCACCCTCGCACAAGCACATGACCATAGTAATCAGACCATACGCATGGCGGAAAGGCATTAAACCAAGAGCTACTGCACTTTTTTCAACGAATAGATGACTGAAAATAATAATAAATGCAAGAATTTTTACAGGAAAGAGATATCAAGAACACAAACAGACATTACAGAGAAGCTCTGAATAGTGAATTCCACAATTACCCTTCGGTGAAAGGTATTAAACGGTTTCTTTAACAGGTGATTAGTTTTACCTACTTATTAGTGAAACGATATCGGAAGGTAGGTAGCTCGATTTCGATGCCACAATTTTTTCAACACATTCGATTCAATAAGAGGAGACTGGCCGTTTTCTATCGTAAAATTGTATTAATTTTCTTCAATGTAATCATCAATTCAATCGAACAATTTTATCTAAGAGAAAAAGTTTTTGTTTATAGAATATCCAGTTTATATTTGTCAATATCCGTTAATTTTCTCTTGAAGAAAATGAATCAATAACAGAAATTTTGGAACTTTGCAGTCAAGATACCTTTTCTTTTAGTTTTATCATAGCAATTTTAGGCTCAAAGGCTGAGAGATCATTTCATTTTTGTCGAATTTAAAAGCACATGATGATCATGGTAGGATAAGACAAGCATTGTTTCTAAAATTTCTCGCTCCTGAATTAAAGAAGTAAAACTCAGATATTTTAAAATATAACCCAGATCAATACTAAGAATCTCGAATCAAAATGTATCACCGTCTACGGAATATAGGAGAGAATGCAGATCATGCTATAGTAAAGTTACTAAATATTTTTCCATTGAATTTGAATTTGGAGTCATTTTTTCAAATATATCCAAGTTATACCATAGAGCTTCCACAAACCACATTGCAGGCTCACGCCAACACTGCCGTGCTAAGGAAGAATGTGAACATATGAACATTCGAGAGTTGCCAAATTTCCCTTGATAGAACATGTATTTCTGACAAGATTCATGCATATTTTTCCTTGAAATGTTCAAATATTTTATATTAAATTGCGTATAGAATTGTCTGAAAATGTTGGAAAATAATAATCACAATTTTCCCAGTAAATTCGGTTTTTATCGAAGGAAACTTGGCAACGTCTGAGGGTTCATACGGCGTTCTTCATTTTGCACGGCAGAACAGCAGTTTTAAGTATTTCTTGGCCAGTCAAATGATATTGTAACAAACTGAGCATCGATCTTTTTATCTCCGTAAGAAACTTCCACATATCCTCACACAATCATTAAATTTTAACTTCATGAAATATTACCGTTTTTTTAGAGCCGCTATAATATTATCATGCGTAAGCATGACGCATTTTGGTAGTCCTGTGGTCCCGCTTGAGGTCAGAATGAGAGCAATATCATCAGGGATATTGCTAGATTTGTCTCGCGCAGCTACATTTTGTGTCTCATTCTGCACAGTTGGTTTCACCTGCGGACTTTGATCGAAGTGGTCGTCTTCTTTGAAGTCTTTCAGCGCATCTTCTAATCTAATTGCTCCATCACTACATTTTGTCTTTTCTTCTCCAAATTCTAATACATACTTTACTGCGGATATTTTTGGGCAGGCCAATCTTTTTAGTTTACCTTTTTGCATCAGTAAACACTCAACAGGAGTGATGTCAAGAGAATGGATTAGCTCATCTATAAAAAAAAACATTAAAGCAACTGGTTAGACTAAACAGGAAACACCTGTCTATAAAACGACATATTTTGTTGTATTCACCTAAAAGACTCCTAGTTTGAGAGTAATTAATGGACCGCGTTAAACAGAAAGGAACCAAGCCACATCAGCTATTGCCAAATTTAATTGGGCACTTTAATTTTTTACATGAAAACGGTTGTGCGGATTTTCGTGCAAATTTCAGTGAAAATTCTCAATGGTACGAAGCAAATCCCTTAAAATTTTCAAAGAAATCCGAACAAACATTCACTCGTAAAAAATGTAATTGCCCAGTTAAACTTGGCAATAGCTGACGTGGCTTGGTATTCCTTTCTGTTAAACTCGGTCCAAATGCAGGTCGCAAGGATGCTGACCGCTCCGGATTCAGGGGCTGTAAACTCTTTATTCTGAAACTGTAATTATGTGGCTCTGGCTCAATGAACCATTTTTGCTTCAATGTGTACCTCCATAACAGACATATGGCTAAAACTATTCTTATTCGCATGTCAACACTTTCCGGCTGTGAGCAAATACCCTATCATGCATGGCTGAATTTTAACAGATAGTTGTAAACAGTGGAAATCGAATACAGCGACCTTCTAGGGACCGGCAAAATGCGGTCGTTTTATCCGATTGTCGCTTTAACCGATGCTTCAGTACAGTAAATAAATGGGATTTCAACCATGATGTTGTGGAGATCGCAGGTCGTTAAAATCGATATATCGTTACAAGCGATGTCGTAGCATCCGATTTCCATTTTATAAGTTTCGAATGATCAATTCTGATAGCATCATTTTCTTTAAAAAACGATGACCCTTAACATGTCATAGGCTACATGAACTCGAGGTGATAGGTCAAAACTTAAGTACAGTTTTCGCCCACGTCCGATTAGTTTTTCAACAGTGGCATTTTTTTGATAGAGGTCACGAAAAAAGTAACCCATACACAAGGGGAAAAAACGTACTAATTATCATTGTTCTGACAAATAAAAAATTATAACACTTACACAAAGTGGATTTTGGGCAAATCAAGCGACAGGCTGCCCCGCTGGTCCACACGCCCAATAGAATCCAAATGAAGTCAATGTTATTTGAACTCATCAAACCGACAGTGCTCCCCTTGCCGAGATTGTGCGCGCGGAACCATTTCGCTAAATTAGCGCATTTGCATTTTACATCATCAAAAGATATCTTTCTATGAGTTTCAGCGTCCACCTGAGAAAAATTAATTTTAAAAAATCAAAAATAGGCATGATGGTTAGTAGTAGTGTGAAAGTGTGATTGGCTCGATGGTTTATTGCTGTCCCGTTGATACTTTGGACAAAGTGGTATTAAACTCGTCCAGAAAACGCCCAAATCTGTATGTTCCCAATCAAGTGATCAATACCAAGTGAGATTTTGAAAGAAAGTATAGTGAAACTAGATGCACTTAATATATGAAACATTCCTGTAGTTTTTTGCTGGCCTGCAGCAGCAAAACAGACGGATACTATAAGTTAAGGTGCCGGTTTGGCTCGTTACCATGCAAAATATATAACAATGGGTTAAAATAGGGGAACTATCTGGATGAAACTAACTTTAACCTAATTTTTAAATTTGGTTCAGGATGTGAAATTAATACCGCTAAGAAGCATTACTCCGGCGGATCGTTTAGGACTTAGATAATTATGCCTAAAGTCAAAGACGTGATTTGTAAATCGGTGTATACGATTCCATTTTTCCTTCGTTTTGAGCATTCACTCTAATGCATTTTCAAGGAAAATGGACCATTCAGGATGTACTCAACTTTTCGGTTCTCCTTTAGAATTTAGAATATTGATTACGGTAACAATCTTTCCGCAGAATAGAAAGTATAAAGATAGAATTGAATTTTGAAGCTGTGTGAATGCGATACTACAGCTCAAGACCAGTGAAAATTTAAGTGGGATTATATGCTAACAGCCAGCTACTTAATTATCGAAAATTAAGATGAAAAGTCCAGAATGAATTATTAAAATGCTAATCTCTTCGCACCGATAGTGCTATTCGTATTGTACGGATCTCAATCAAATGAAAGTAAAATGCAGGTTGTCCAATTATCTCAATGTAATGAAAATATTAAATTATTTTCCTAATTTAATGCTGTAAAATTGCGACTTTACCCCCACAAAATGGCAATATTTTCACATCGTTTGGTCTTTAAATGCCAATATTGAACGATCAAGAAAATGAATTCCATTTTTTATAAAGGTAGGCAATTTCAATGTAAATAAAGAAATGGAACTTATATCAATTGTATTGCGATAATTTTAGCATTTTAGCGATGATATATGTTGAGGTGCTCAATCCTCCAAGATTTGTGGTTTGAAAGAGAGCAGTGGAGGTTAGGAGTCGTAGAGCGCGAGGGAGTGCTGTAAAGCGACTTGTATGTATGTATTGCGATAATTTTCAATTAATGGAGCCCCGTCAATTCTTGAATAGACAAAATACATGACCTCTCAACATAATTGCGACAATTTTCTGCGTGATTGCAATTTATTGCAACCTGTGCTGCTTTGTTGGTGGTTATGTGGTCAGATATCTGGTTAAACTTCACTTAAAAATCGATTATAAATAATACATGCTTTCAAGCTTATGTATGATTTTTTTTTATCTTACTCAAAACAGTTAAGTAAAAGAAACAATAAAATATTGAGAATTTTAAATTAAAGTGAGTCAAATGTTTGAGAAAATTAATTTTAAAATATACAGACTGATTAGTGGTGAGACAAATACTAAAATTACATTTTACCTGAGCAGTAGTTGCTCCATAGGACTGAATACAGTTTAAAATGTAATCTGACACTTGCATTTTTACATATTACGAACGTAGATTTGCAGTTCTATCCAGACCTCTGATGTGCAACACGACTGAAACGTCACTCCTTTTCAACTTATTTAGATACATACATTTGTATACATTGTATTCGTTGCTGCGTTATTGATAGTCCTGAAAATAATTGTCAACATAGGCTCCAATCGTAAGATCAAAACATAGATTACCTACATTAAACTCTTATCGTTTAGTCCTCACGGAATAAAAAGAAACAACCGCTGCTTACGTAATCACATCTTATTTGGATAAATTTAACTAGAAACAGTCTATAACTGCATTTCACGTCACCTTCTTCTTCCTTCTCACTTCATTTGGTTTTAAAAAGTAATGAATAACAACTCAAAACCTTGAAACTCTCTATCGATAACCCTTTGATTATCCACAATATACTTACAAAATGTTAGCTTAGAAGAATGCTACTTATAGTTGAATGGTACGAAAAAAAATAATGCGAGCATGGTCAAAAGGAAATATTTTATATTTTTTCATTTACATAATTATTGAACTTAAATGGGAAAAAATAACGAGATGAAAGGATAAAATATGTTGTAATGTTTTTACTTTCACTCAATCTGTCGGCTTGTGATATCACGCTCTTTGTAATTTCTTGTCTACTTCAGCTTGATCATATGTTTTCATTTTGAGATCAAAGTGTATTTTTTGCACTACCATATTGTGCAACGAGTGCCTTTGCACTTTCCCAGTACTCGTCTTAGGAATGTAAGAAGTGTAGACCAACCCTCCTCTCAATAGTTTGAACGGAGCCAAAACACCTGGAAAGACGATACACACCAAATATTATTCATACTGAAATTGAGAAATTTTACGGTCGAATTTCCATACAACGTAAAATCATTTAGGAAGCTTGTGGCTGTTTTATTAGCTCTACCTAACAATGAAAATAGAGGACTCTGCAGAAATTATTAACCATTTACAAATGGGATGAATTTGAAAAGAGTAAATATTCTCGAAATCTTTGAAACATTGTAGTACTTATATCGTTAATGATACATTGTTTTCGAGTTTTAAAGTATAGGCACACTGCATTTGTTGTCAGGAAAACGTTTTCAGGTGCATCATTGAATCAATTCTTGTATTCATTAGTTTCATTTTTGGTATCCATGTTTATACAAAAATAATGCTATTTGCCACGTCAGCAATTCTCAGTCTATATTTTATATGTTGAGTTGAACTTGGTTTGGTTACTAGAATCCATGTAATTTATAGTAATATTGCAAATGAAAAAAATATGCATGGTATTAAATTTGGGATTTTCTTACTCCTCATGTAATCATGAATCTCTTGAGCTGTGTTATCGTGGCTTTCTCGAGGGATAACATATGCCCGAGGCACCTGTCCAAAGATTTCGTGTTCTATTCCTATAACTGCTGCCTCGACAATATTTGGATGGGCGATTAAAACGAATTCCAGCTCACTTGGAGACACCTGTAACAAAATCACTCGATTAATAAGGCAACTACAGACAAGTTTTTGTGGTTGAGTCACTAAAGAACAGAGCCGGATTAAGGGGGTGATCACATAGGCCGCGGCCTATGTCGGCAAAATGTATGAGGCGGCAAATTTTGCAATCTTTTTGAATGTTGGTATCATAAAAAGAGAGAACAAAATCAAATTCAGAAAATAAATTACAAACGAGGAAAGGCGACAGGATCTCTCATTTCCTGAGAGTAGTAGTATAGTAATTTTTAATTTCGTCGTCTTTCGGTGATACCAGAGACAACACCGTTAATTAGTCGAGTTAAGAGAGAAACCAAACACGACCTGGAACGGAGCGTCGCGGTGGTCGGCATGAAACGCATAGCGCCTACAAGACTGTATGAATACTTCACGCATTGCGGCAAACATTGTGGTCAGCAGCGGTCGGCGTGAAACGCATAGCGCCTACAAGACTGCATGAATACTTCACGCATTGCACCAACACAGTGTGGTCGGCGCGACGGTGGAAGTTAAAATTATTAACCACATTTATGTTTGTTCTGTCATAATTTTTTTGCTCGTTTTTTATGAACGGAAGGCCTTGTCCAAACAGGGATGGGTTTACGGAACTGAACTTTTGATAATGTTGACAGGGCTTTCACAAAAAATGTGCTCAACACGAGTAAGCCCGTCTCATACACCCCTCTCCCACTGGCACGTTCACTTGATGGATTTTATAGACTGTATTCGACAGATCACACAGGTGAGATTATATTTATATCGATTGCTTCAATATACAACCACTGCCTCAAAAGTCAATTTAGAAATCTAAGGTAACGGGTCTTATGTGATCGTGTTATTATTCTCTCGAGTACCAAATGGCAATGAAAAGTGAAATTATTAAGAATTTTTTCATTGTCAGCTTTTCCAAATTAAATCCTAAAATTTTTGTTTGAGGTTACGTTCTATTGTTTTGAACCAAACGATACATCGAACCACTGTCGAATACGATCTATTGATGTTTCAAAACAAATGAGAAGTGCGGATGGAAAAATACAGGCGTTCCATGGGCGGTGCTTGGTGCATGGTGCTTTCCCGTAAGAAATTATATGCATTGGATTGCTGCAACTTTATGTGTGACTTCTTCCATCATGAAGGAAAAACTCAAAATTTAAACATTTTATATTTTTGCACTAAAATTTGTGCATCGGATGAAAAAAAAAGGTCTTAGCCTCCTTGTAGTTGGTTTATTGAAAACATAAACATTTCATAATATTAGCAACATTCCAATGCTAGTATATAGTTGATTATTGCAAAATGTAGTCCCTTTCTATACACTCATTGTCAGCGTCTATTATCACAGTATGTACCTGATTTCCTTGGTATTTGATGATATTTTTAAACCTATCTACAAAGTAAAAGTAGCCATCTTCATCAAAGTAGCCCATATCTCCTGTCAAAAACCAACGATCCGCATCGAAAGCACAAGCATTGGCTTTTGGGTTGTTGATGTAGCCTTTGGCGACAGGGCGGCCTTTAATACAAATCTCTCCCACAGAATTAGGTCCCAAAACCTCTCGGCTCTTCAAGTCTACAATCTAAAACAAATAAAATATTAATTGCTGCAATTGATTACACACGTCATACAACTTAGCTGACATTCCGAGATTTTTGTAGTTCTCATTTTTTACGTGCGTTTGTGAGGCTTGGTCTCGCGACTTAGGAGGAATGAAGTTAAAAAAGGATCTAATTTGTGACGTCACACATGATATAGTAAGATAAAAGGGAAATCAAATGCAAATGAGAATTAAATAGTTTCTCATGTCAAACCAATTTTCAAATCCAGAATCAGTTTTTTCTACGTTTTGATGATCTAAGGTCGTTCATGTTTTCATTTTTCTAAGAATCACAATGCGGAATATCTTTGATCCTGCGAACATTATAGAAACATTTTCACCTCAAGTAGTATGATTAAGTTGTCACATTGTATTTTTTTACCAACCCTTTTGGATTACTTGATGATTTGGGCAACTTATCAGTTACTTCCGCCAGGACAGTGAGCAGCTCAGCCGAAAAATGGAAAGGTTCCGTAATTTTAGGGCTGCCATGTTGCTCATGAAAAAAAGTATGATAGAGTCAAGTAATTTAAATTTAGAATCGGACGTTTTATGTTAAACAACATGCCGTTAATATCTCATAGCAACGTCTTTTGGCAATATCTCGAAATTGCTCAGCATTTGATTTGTTGAGATTCTGCTCACCTTTACATGCAACGATGGAGCGACTTTCCCGAGCGATCCTGGTCTTTTAGCATCATACACCTGAGAAAATAGGTAGTGGAAACATTCGGTGCAGCCATACACTTTCTGTATCACGACTGGCTGTAGAAATTTATCCATATATGTTTCAATACTATCCTCGAACATTGGAGCACCACCAACGCATACGTGTTTCACTGATAAAAGGTCTCTAAAATCGAGGGTGTTTGACTTCAGTAGGGTCAAGAGCAAGGAAGGAACCAAATGTAGCCGGGTGATCTGCAATTAACGTACACATTATGCGTATATTTTAGACAGTAAAAAAATAAAAGCAAATGATGATCTTCTGATACTCCAAAAATATTCAATGACCTCACTCATATAGCTTTTGGTCTAAAATATACCCCTTTCAGAAGTACTCAAGGCACATGGAACTCAAGCTGTCAGCTTGCAACACCTTGGATTAAATATGTTTTAATCTTATACTAAATTCTTTTAAACAAAAAAGTCGACTATACCCTAAAACAAAAGTGCAAATATAATTTCCTTTATAAGTATAAATATTGTGTAAACTGTAAAATTTTTAAACGTCTCTCGTAAAATAAAGAAAAAAAAGACGAAAAAAGATGCGTATGAAAAAACAACCGAGCAGACAAATAAAAATAAGTATTAAAGTTCGTTCTGGAAAAATGTCTTTTTCGATGGTGTTCCGGTGTTTTACCGGAGATAATAGAAAGACATAGATTTTGTAAGATTGAAATTTTGAATCCTTTTTCAACCTTCAGCATCAGCCCTAAACTTTCAGTATATACTTTCTTTCATCTCTTAAGTTAAATATTTAAAGTGATCATCGACCAAAATTCCTCACCGAAAAAGTTTGAATCGTCTCAATCCAAAAAGGCAGCGAGAACTTAGGTATCACAACCATTAAAGCGCCTACACACAAGGAGTTGAGCATGACCGAGAGACCGTACGCATGATGAAATGGCAATAACCCGATAGTTTTATCATCATTTTGGACCAGGATATTGCTAGAACTGTTACACAAGGAGAAAAAAATCCTCTGAATCCTTTGTAATTAGAAAAGCAGTTCATAGCAACAGTAACCTATTGAATGATGCCCAAATGGATTTGAATCTTGCCGCCACTCCAATTATCGATGCTTGTTGCTTCATTAATGATTAATGCTGAAAGTTGGCTTTCTCTGTCTATTTCTTTCACCTAGCCTGTAAATTATTTTACTTACTTTCCACCTGTGCCACCTATAATGTAGTTAGTATGCGTAGTTTTATTCCCAATTGCATGCCTTTCGATTTTGCATGTATATTTGCTTGTGTGCTGTGCTCCCATATGTCTACCACTGAAGATGGCCCCGTGGGCCGAAACGCATCTGTGTAAATAAAATGTAATTATGCATCTACTTGGCGTACCTTACTCTCTCCCAATCAAGTTTATATGCAATATGCGCTCTTTCAAAACCTTACACAAGGCGTTTGAATACTACTTTTATCTGTATTTGGTTTCATTCATTATTGATTCAATCTTGATTCTTTGACCATTTTATCAATCTGCGAGGCGAAAAGTTTTGCGCTTTTAAAGCTCGTTAGTATTTGGAGCATGAGCAGTCTCAGTGATCGTTGGAATTTTGCAATAGTACAGAGTTTATTGGTTAGGAAGATATAGTCCTTTGTTAAATACATTTATTTAAAGGCGCCATAACAAAAAAAGTCATTAACACCTGAGAAAAGAGAGTTGGATACAGAGAGAGAGGATATGTTGCCTGCACTGAAGCAGTCATAAAGAGAGCTAATCCTGACTTCGAAGAAATAAATACCTAATTGAATTAGTGAGAACGAAAACACACCAACCAAAGCTCAGAACTTACTCAACTAAACTCAGAAAAATGAAAATAATCAAGTCACACACAAAACCTCACACTAGATGAAAGAATTAGTCGAAGAAGAAAACTTTTGGTGCCGAAATACAAGCACTCAAGGACATTTTAGAGGCTCAAGTTGGAACAGATGCGCTAACTTCAATGGCCTTTATAAAAACTGACAGTCTTTAATGAAAAATGAGCGTATTCAAGGTACCGAGTTGATGTGTTTTCGATCTCACTGATTCAATTATGGCTTTAATCATATTTTCTCGATATTATTATTTACCTCATATCTTCAAAGTGGCAAAAATTAAGTTATTATTTTATTTACCCAAGTTCTAAGCCTGCAAAAATACTATCCTCAGTATGCATAACACCTTTAGGAAGTCCTGTTGTTCCACTTGAGCTCAGAATCAGAACCAGAGGGTCTGGTTCATTCTCCATTTCCAGACTTGTATTGTCCTCGCTCGGTTGAGCCATGCAATTGACACTAATGTCGAATTTAAAGATAGTGTCAAGCGGTGTGGCAGCTTCACTGTATGGAACATTTTCTTCGCCAAATTCAAAAATATGCTTGATTTGTTCGGTCTCAGAGCAGGCTAGGGTCTGAAATACTCCTCTCTGAAGTATAAGCACATCAACAGGGGCCGTTTCAAGGGCATGGATGACCTCGCCTGCAGACATAAGGTCATTTAATGTGGATCTCTTTGCAGAAGATATAGGTGGAGAGTCAGGAAAAATTCAAAGTTTCGGATCAGTTTTTTCCTTTAAATTCGTCTGATCTTTTCTTAATGACCATAAATATTCATAATTAAGGCACTATAAGGGAACTCTGAAGGGGGAACTTTCATGTAAATATTCTTAGGACTTCTATATTTCAACATGTATTCTTAGGCCTTCGGCCATTATCTGTCTAATAATGGTTCCACCTTTGTTACAAAATTAATAAATATTTCGTTACCTAAAAAAAAGAAAGAAAAAAACGTTTATGTACAGGGACCGTTTCGACAGTAAGTATTTTCTAAGCTGCTACATACAAATACCCTGGGGGAAACAATTGACATCGACTAATTATTCCACAGCTGTGAATTTTTAAGCTATGCTGAGGGCACAGCATTTTTACCTGACTTCTAATGAGCTCTTGCAACGTCGTTCGTTCTTTCACCAAATCATCTCCTTAAATAATGCTCAAAACACTGATATACCGAAATTTTTCATTGCATAGTCATAAGACTAGATGTGGTACTGAGCGGTAGAGTAAGTGTGCTTCACGTTCAAAAGACCGACCCCGTATACTCGCTTTACTTGCAATTATCTACTGCATGTTTATTTGCTCGTACTTACGTAAAGTATATCTGAAGTCGATGAGATGACATACAGCTCCACTCTCCCAAATTCCAAGTAGTATCCACGCAAAGTCCAAACTGTTTCTACTCAGCAGACCGATCGTGCAACCTCTCCCAAACCCATGTAAGCGGAGCCATTTTGTCAGAGATTTACTTTTTCTCCGAATTTCATCAAAAGTCACGATTCGCCTTGTTTCCGCATCGACCTAGAAAATTTAATCGTATTACGAGACCGTTACTTTAACCATAAAAAGTTATTTCCCATTGAAAAAAAGCTGCTTGATTGCTTCCAGTCTCTTGAGAAGCGTAATTTTGTAACGAGGAAATGTAAAGTATTCGAACTTTCAAAGATAATATCCATAGAATTCATGGAAAAATATCTACAATTTTGGAAAATTTTAAGGCGCTTAGAAGAACAATATCGAGGCATGAAAAAATTGGAGACAATATACATATGAGAGCCTATTTTACTTTGTCTGGTTGATTCACCGTAATCAAGGGCGAAGTTTAACATTTCTCAGGGTGTATGTGAACTCATGCGCAGAGCTGTGGAATAAATGTGTTTTGGATAGTGACAAGAACGTAACCCGACAAACTTTCAGTGCTAAATCCGACAAATGCCTTCATTTTTCCGCAGAACGTAAGGATTTTTTCCAAAAACTCTTGCGTAAATGAACAACGGATGTATGTATTATTAAATTCAGCGATGAAACACCCCCACTCCTACCAATTGGAGGGCTTGCCTCATTTCCAACGTCAACCTATGTTACCTGAGAGTATCAGTTGAGATTTAGATTCAAAAAGTCAATAAGTTTCTGACAGTACCTGAGCAGTTTTAAGTCCATAGGAAACAATATGTTCAAGAACATACCTAGAGGCACGCATTTTAACTAACGATGTATGGATAGAAATTTCACATCAAACTGACATTTAGAGAATAATAATCAAGAGATATTTATGATTTCAATGCTATTGAAACTCATCTTCCGGATTATTATGCAAAGCAATCTCATGAGATATAACATTGGCGGTAGAATATTCATGATCTGATCTTCCGTATGTCATTTATACATCATTCTGCTCAATCTATCACGCTCATTTTACATTGAATTAGACAGTAATTCCGGCATGATACTTACAGTCCCTCCCTCAATTTTTTTTGCCTTGTTTCTTTTTCTTTTTACTAATGATAGCACTATTCTCATTTGGCAACTCAAATTTCAATGAGAAGAAGTTTCACAGATTTACTATTTATAAACAAGAGAAATTGCACACAGTGTCTTGTAGTCCGAATATTAGATGGCATGAAGATAGACATACATGAAACATAGCTTCTAATAATTCAATAGCCTTCCTTATAAAATTAAAATTTCAAATATTTAATCCGACCAAATGTTGGAGCTGCAGTGACATTCAAAAGCTCTTTCCTTACAGTGGTTTTTACAAGAATTATCGCATATTTAAACACCGTAAAACACTAACTCATGAGAATAATTGTGCGGATAAATTACACGTCGTATCTTGGCCGGATTAATTTAGGCGGAGAATCTTATGTGTGTGTTACACACACAATCCTACTTTTCGTAGCACTTGCCGGATAGACTTCCATAGCATCAAAAGCGAAAATCGAAAAACGGATTTGAACAGTTCGCGCCAAAATGCTTCGTTTTTTATGTTCTTGCCAATGATGTATCACAAGATATGGGTTACTATTTGAAAAAAGAAAGTCGGGTGCCCCCTCCTGCTCCCTCTGACGGAAGGACAAGAATTTTGACCCCCTTAGAAGATGGTCCCCTTTGAGATAGAAACATTCCCAAAGTTTCGTTTTTCAATCTCTAACCGTTCAAAAGTTACAAGGGGGGGGGGGGACTTTTGGGACACCCTGTTTATTGCCAGTGAGAGCAAAAAAAGTGGAAAAATTTTTAGGGGGGGGGGGGGTATTGTAAGTATTTAAAGTCAGGGAGAGGTAAGCATCAATCGAAATTTAAAGTCGACTTCAAACACTGATGTTAACAGCACTGATGTGGGAACGCTTGATTTAAGTCAGAAAATTATGACTCCCCAAAATTGACTAGTTACACTCAATCTGTCTCGAGTTTACCTGAAAGCTTTTACATGACCGAGCATTTCCATGGAAGGCTGTTTTGGCAAAAATTTCACAACGCTGGATTTCAAATACTATCCTTACATTCGGAGTGGAATACCTAGTCCAGCCACATTAAGAGAATTTGCATCTCGTCACATCATGTTCTTTTTTGTCGTTTTCTTCTTCCTCTTTTTTATCAGCTCATTTCGATCATAAGACGTGTATTTTAAACTGGAGTTTATTCAAAATAATGCTTTAATATTCAAATTGTTGCCAGCCAGCAGTTGTATTTAGCAATTAAACCGCTAACAAATTAGCGTTTCAGATGGACGACAACTGCCACTGACTTCCGGACTCTCTCACATGAGTATACCTACTCGGCACAACAATCCAACTGATGGTCGTATGGGTCTCGAATCCTATAATCAGTAGACAAGTATGTTGCCGCTCGTGCCAAAATTGACGTTACATCCTTTTGGTCCCCTATAAGTAAGTTACATTCACTTATTTATGACACGCAGAATCGATTGCCGAAGACATCGGAGAATCGTTACAAGAATCTTTAAATATACAAATTTTAATCGAACAGTATAGAAGTTTTTTTTTTTTTTTTTTTTTTTTTTTTTTTTGTGGTAGAGTGTGTGTGTTGGGAGCATACATAAAAATATAAGGCCTTTGATCCACTTAATATTATTTTGCTCCTTTTGCAGAGATTGAAATTTTGAGATGTACCCGGGGACGTCAAATTAGTTTTACTCCTCCAAACTTCAATTCATTCATTAATGTCCTTTATACTTAAAAAAAAAAAAAAATTTGACTGTTTAAAAACCAAATGCAACGAGACAGTAAAGGATATATTGCGGTAATTTGAACACAATTAGATGACATTGTACCTCTCCATCCACCTCTCCCACTAGTCCAGGCAAAGAAGGAAAAGAGCCTGCAAAAATCCCGGGTAGCAATGTTTTCATCGATTCCTGTGTATTTTTTGACGCTGAATCCGAATTTCAACTTTGCGCCATTAAATTCAGACCGAAAAGTTGCCAAATTTGGCAAAAATGGCCTAAAATCGGACTTTTTTCCGGATTATGGCCTGTAACTTGCCAAAAATTGATCTAACGATAAAAATAGTTATTTTCAGAAATAAAGCCCGTTAAATTTCCTATAAAAAAGTTCCGTTCACTTTTTTGCTCAAGGCAAAATCAAGCGCGCCAGCGGGCTCCGAACTTTGTAAAATGTGCGAAAATTACCTATACTGTAATGTGTTGGGTTATCCTTATTATTTACATCAATTCATTTCACTAAGTGTAAATTTTATCATCTTCACTTAATTTGTCCAGAAATTACTCGTCGGACGATTAAAACAGGAGACATCGGGCAAAAACCGCGAAAAACACTATTTTTGCTCATTTTTCAAAGTTCGGAGCCCGCCAGCGCGCTTGATTTTGCATTGAGGAAAAAAAAAGTATTGTAACTTTTTTACAGGAAATTTAACGAGCTTTATTTCTGAAAATAACTAATTTTATCGTCAGATCAATTTTTGGCAAGTTACAGGCCATAATCCGGAAAAAAGTCCGATTTTAGGCCATTTTTGCCAAATTTGGCAACTTTCCGGTCCGAATTTTATGGCGCAAAGTTGAAATTCGGATTCAGCGTCAAAAATTACATAGGAATCGATGAAAACATTGCTACCCGGGATTTTTGCAGGCTATAGCCCTTTTCATGGCTTATTTGCCTGGACTACACAGAAAAACTTGCCATAAATATAAATTTCAAACCCTTATTTTACAGCATTAGGAGCTTGAGAAAGATGGCCCACGATACCTTCATTCTTTCCTCAGCTTTGATGGCTATTCTGTTTGTACCAGCAGCGCTTACGTTAACCTCAAGAGATAGACAGATGAATGATTTTGATTCGAAAATGTGGATATCGAGGGTAGTCACTGAACGTATTTGGGATTACGATATAACGTCAAATAAAAATCCGCTCTGCACGCAACATTTTAACGTTCTACGCCAGCATCAAGCAAATTTCACCACGTGGGCTTTGCAGAGTAAGATATTTCCCATTACTATTTGCGATCATAAACATTAAAATTCCATTCTATTAATGTCATACAATCCTGAGGCGTTTCGTTCTGTAATCTAAGAGTGTCTTCTTGTTTTAACCAGGAGTGTCGATATGGAATGAGAGAAAATCAATTCTCCTATGCCACCTATGGAATTTGACTTGTTTTGAAAAAAAAAGTTATCGATTTGAAAGGATTTCTAAAAATTAAAAGTTTTTCCCTCTCATGGAAGATTTAGCCTCTACACAACACCCCCCTCCCCAGACTCAAATGAAATGAAACTCTGATTTTCACCATTTTTTGTAGGGGTAAAATTCCAAGTGTAACTAATAATTGCTCTTTCGAGGCTATTGGCGCCATTTTGTCAATGCTTTAATCCAGTTTTCAGTCATCTGACATTATTATACTATTTTTCGCAAAACGTGCAATATTGCTTTCTTCATCCCCGCAAATCCCGGAAAAATTATGCTGAAGGTAACTATATATAACAATAATATATAACTTCATTCCAAAGTTCCACGATTGTCTCAAACAATGCAATTGTTTACAAGCGATTTCTGATAATAATTTTGTTGTTTTCTGAAAAAAAATATGAATTGAAAAAAAAATCACACATGTTCCATCAGAAACTCTCCACAGTTTTTTAGTAAAAAAAGCAATTTGCGAGAGGAAATTTTGCTCCCTTGAAATTTAGAAAAAAATGTTTTCTTGGTAACAACGAACTGCTAAACTGCAAGTAGCTGATAATGTTTAATTTTTCAGTGTTAGATGCATCTGATCTGATTCCGGCTGGTTTTCTTGTTGGAGACGGGTATCGAATTGGCAATTTCGATGAATGCATTCATGCTAACGTTCCAGAAGAACTAGCGTTTTCACCGCAGTACTGTTTACCTTCCTTTACAATCGTTCAAGAGACAAATATTCAAAAATCTGCTGAAACCTCTGACGATTGGAGAGAGCCCGTATGGAGGAGGCTTCAGGTATAAAGAATAGTTTTTTTTTCTTCGGTCAATAAATCTGGGATGTTATGCAGTATCAAAATTTTGACATATAACTTTGAATTGAACAAAAAACATGAATCTACGTTAAGTCAAATCGGAACAAGTTGTAGCAAAATAAAATAAAATAAAGTTTTTGCTGAAATCTCCTCTGAAACTTTTGTCGTCACTTTTGGGAATGTGCACTGAAAAAGAAAGTCACTTGGATCTAGACTCACTTGGCTCTTAATAACATTGACAAGATAAAAAAACCTTATTCAATCCGATTTTTCCTTGAATCGAAGAGCCGAATCCTTCATTTAGGCGAATTTCCTTTTGATCCAAGCAAACAGTCCGATTGAATCAAAAGTATTTTTCCATGTCAATGTTTTTAAGAGTCTGGACTCTAGATCCAAGAGACTTTTTTTCCAGTGTGGAATACACAATAATTGTACAGCTGTTTTGGTATGTGGTGTTACATTCAGGCCGTAAGCAGAACCAACGTTCCAAAGAATCGTTTCAGCCTGTCATTTTGTATACCAAGCACTTGTTCATCAGACGACTTGCAAACTTCCTTGCAAAGACTGTTCCGCGAATTGACGAGGCCTCTTGGATACGACCTTAATGTAACCGTCAATGACCTCCATTGCACCACAGGGAAGGACCAGCCCAAATCCATTGGTTATACGATAATGAGGTTTGTATGCGAATGAAGCATAAGTCACTGAAAATTGCAATACCTATGTACGGCTGTGCTACGGAAAAACGTCATATAAACCTTCAGGCGTTGCCAAATAACCTTCGATAAAACGCGAATTTCCTGGTAAATTGATGAATATTTTCCTCCCCATTTCTCAGATAATTTAATTCGCAATTTTATCCGAAAATTCTGAAAATTTAAAAAAAAAAAAATATTCATAATTTTCCTAAAAAATTAATATTTTATCGAAGGAAATTTGGTGACTCTCAAATGTACATACGGCGTTCTTCCTTAGCACGGCAGTGTACCATAAAGTAATGAAATTCTTGGGATTGCTTCATTTGGACTAAAACAGTTTTTATTGACGCGTAATATTTGTCCCTTTTTCAATTGTATTATTCAGTTCAGTTAATTTTCAGCAAGTTTCTTCACTGTTTAACTCCATGCAATGCAACTCCTCTCAATGTTTTTAAGTTCGTGGGAATCTCGATCTCAACGTGAGGCACGTCTTAGCCTTGAAGATAAAAAAAAGTTTAATCCCACACAACCTGCCAATGCTGTGCTTGCGAGCGGTATTAACGTGTCTCTGCTGAATTAAAATTAGCATATGGATTTGTTTTAATCGGTTGGGTCTTCTGAACAGCCAATTTCGTCGATTTTTGCGGAACAAAAGCCTTATACCGGCATCTCCTTATTCCTGTAGTTTTTTTTTTTTTTTTTTTTTTTTTTTTTTTTTTTTTTTTTTTTTTTTTTTTATTAGCAAAAAAAGCACATCAGTTGTGTCACTCATTAATTTTCAACAAACCTAATCTATTTCAACTTTGTTTTGTATATTTCCAATGATTTTTAAAACATGACCTATGAACTTGCGTGGTTCATCAAGTAAGTCAAGAAAACCTCTACCTCGTGCGACTCTCATTAAGAAAAATAAAAAAAAAACCGGCTTAACAGTAAATCAAAAACGCAACAGTTTCAACAACGGCTTAATGATCCTCATGAATTAAAGACTGTTTTGTCGCTTATATTATCTCCCTTAAAATCATTTTACAGGTATTTCTTGTTGAGCGCAACAGGTGTCTTAATATTTTGTTCTGCAGCAGACATTATCTTGGCGGTGACGAAGGGAGAAAAGCATGATATTAATAATTGTTCAATTGCGAAAGCCTCAGGTGAGACTTCTGACGACTTTGGTAACAACTTTGTATCGTTTCACTCAATGGATTCACTTATGGGTCTTCTCTTTAAATAATTGCATCTTTCATATTTCGCAGCTGATACGAGAACAGTGGACATTCTTTCTCCTTCTTCGTTTTCATCTTCTTCTTTCTCTTTTTCCTCCTCTACTTCTTCTTCTCGTTCTTTTTCTTCTTCTACTCCTTCTTCTCCTTCTTCTTCTTCTTCTTCTTCTTCTTCTCCTCCTTCTTCTCCTCCTTCTTCTTCTCCTCCTCCTTCTTCTTCTCCTTCTCCTTCTTCTCCTTCTTCTCCTTCTTCTCCTTCTTCTTCCGCCTCCGCCTCCTCTTTTTCGCCATCTTAAAGAGTAATCAGTACAGTTTGTGAACTTGGAAGTTTTGGAGGGTTTATCGTTCTGCGGATAAGAAAATATCCTACAGCGATAAAGCGCAATCTACAGCACGAGCAAGTCAAAAGTACACAGACTCAAAATTTAGAGATTTTCACCCTCCAACACTGATTGAGGATGCCTTCCTGTACACACCTTCTAAAATGAATCTCGTTCAGTAGAAAGGTTTCTAGGTATTCCCATTTCTCATAAGAAGTGATCTAAAATAAAACTCATTTGACTAATGGAGTCGTATAAGTACGCGAGCATAAGCAAATATGCATTTCAGAATTTTCCTGAGTAAACCGAAATTGAATGTGCCGAAATTAATAATATATCAAAATCAAATTATATTTTATTTTTATGAAATGCTGACATACATCTATATCTTGAAAGTTATGACTTTGATTCTCTTACCCTACTTTTATTTTTGTTTCTCATTAACAGGGATAGAAAAATGGCTGATACCATTCTCTATGTACAGGAACTGGAGTCAGTTAGTGGCTTCACCTACATCTTCGGGCGATTACAGGATACTTAACGGCATCAAAACAGTACTGATGACCATGACAATAGTGGCACATCGATCCATGTTTACTGCTGAGCGAGTGGCGTTAACTAACTGGTCTTATTTTGAAAGGGTAAAGTGCATATATTTTACCAAAATCGTAACTTAATTCACTAGAGACACGTGCATCCTCAGTCGAGGCAATATAATGTATTAGAACATTATATATCCTACATATGATACTACATACATAGTGTAGGGAATATGATTATCCAAGATATCATGCAATAGATCACGGAAAAGTGTTAAAAGGTATCCCCTTAAATGAATTTTTGGATGATATGGAATTGTCGTGGAACCGTAACTCAAGTTTGGATAGTGCCACAACATTTGGGTTAGCAGCCTAATTTATTGGGGCACTACCACAATTAATTGGAAATGTCCATATCAACCAACAACCCCTAAGTCCTTTTTTTCGTGATCACTCCTGTTTGACAATAGTTATTAATGTCACAAACTGGCAATGCATTGATTGCAGATCGATGATCTTTCCTTGCATCTTTTTAAATCTAGTCTGACCAAATCGTGAAAAAAAATGATAATTCGGAGAACTTAAATTTTCTCATTTTTTTATAATTAATTTTCAAAAGTCATTATCAATTCATCACCACTTCAACCGCATAGCGCATAAAAGAATTAATTTCTCAACACCACATCTGTAGTTTGCCTGCGGTAAAATAACTTCATGAATATTGTTCCAGAATAGACTGTAGAAGAGCGGTGCATCATATTTTTCATTTCCAAAATCGATTTCTTTTTCTCTTTTCATGCCAGAGATTTCATGAATTCAGCATCTTCTTTGTTGGAATGCCCATACCAGACATTTTTTTCTCAATAACCGGCTTTTTACTCTGTCTCTCTATGCTGAAACAATTAGAGAAAAAAACTTTCAATGTGTCAGTACACGCGGCAAATAAGTTGCTCAGGTAAGCTTAACGTATTGACACAAAAGAGTTTTACAAGTCTTGTCTTGGATCAAATGTTCAAGTTTTGATAGTACTCCGAATAAATGCTCGGTTGAGGCGGCACAAGTCCACTAAATTTTGGATTATGGAACCATCATTTCAGGCTCATTTTAGAAACAATGCATATGTCATTAGTTTCCTTGTACAGATGGGTACTTTTAGAATGAGCCAGAAATACTGGTCCCTTTTTGCAAAATGAAGCCTACTTTATAACTAATGTGAAGCGAAAATATGTCAACAGCATAAATCAGGAAAAGTATTCACAAACTATTAACCCGTGTAAGAATAATCGTGTAAATTGGCATGTAAATACATTTTATGGATCATCAAACTCCAAAAGTGAAGTAACTCGAGAAAAAATACTGTAAGCGTAAAAAAAATGTAACTTGACTTTGACTTAACTTTTTCCTTTGTTGTTTTTAAAATTAAAAAGAATGAAAAGAATTGAATTTCTGACCATTATGCTGCCATTTTTTTTTATTAATATTTATTTTGTCCCTGAGGCCTTTCGGACTTGTGCCATCATCAGCATGATAATTTTAATAATTTTGCAGCAAAATGGTCAGAAATTCAATTCTTTTCTTTATTTTTAAATTTATTTTTATTTTTGCTGCTTCTCCAAGCATGTTTAAATATTCTTTCTTTTTGCCATGATAATTTTTAAAACAGTATTTGCCTCTGAAATATGTTTTAGAGTCATGCCTCCGTACATGTTCGTCCTGGCTTGCTTTATCTTCATTTTTCCGCACACAGGCGACGGACCATTCTGGAAAACGACGACTGAGGCAGACATACGATTCTGCCAGAAAAATTGGTGGATGAATCTTCTGTTCATCAACAACTACATCAAACCAGGCGAATGGGTAGAAATTTACATGTTTTAGTATAATGTCTATTAATAATGCTAGTTTGTGAATTTGCTCCTTCTCTTTTCTTGCTTTCTTATTTCGGTAGGGCAACTTTAACCCGAGAAACCGCCGAGAGTATTTCCAAACTGAGACGCCGTAAGTGTAACATACTTTAAAAAAATGTACATTTCTCGACTGATCGAGTAAGTTGCATATAGACAATGCAAAATTAATACTTAATGTATCTAGGTGATCGTCTTTAGCAATTATTGGTAAAAACTATCTTAAGCAGCTTAAACAGTTTTAAAAATTAAATATTCCAACTCGTTTACTCTAAAATTTTATTCGCATTCAGTTTTTTTTTTGTTTTTTGTTTTTTGTTTTTTTTTGACCAGAACAATTACTCTGTTCCATAAATGTAAACATACTATGTATATTCTTCGTGGTACCATTTTGTCAACTTATCGTAAGAATTTGGGGCAGGAAAGGTGAATCTCTTCTGTATTATTTTGGTATATAGTTTTCTGTCGGTTAAGGGTGCGACCCATAGTCTAAACAAGCGACGCAATAGCGAACACAATAAGTGAAGAATGAAACCATTAAGTTCAAGCAAAATTTGTTGTCCCTTAAAAAACGTTACTCATGAAGATAACAAATACTCTCCAATAAGTTCGTTTATAGATGGCCTCCGCCCGCCTCCCTGCACACAGATGGAGTCGCCTAAGACGTTGTCTTACGGTACAACTAGACCGAAAAAATGGCTTATTTCCTCACAAACAGTATGACACTACCATATTTAAACTAGTGACTCCATATCGATTTAGTGTAATTTTTTACGCTACACTCACCAGATTCTAAACACGAAATACAGTCTAATTTGATTTCAGTGTCTCCCGCACTCTTACTACATTGCCGCTGATATTCACTTCTTCATCGTGGGTTCGCTCATTGTCCTTTCTTGTTGGCGGTGGAAGTCACTCAAGTGGATTATTTTGGGTTCTGCCCTTGTTTTGAGTGCCTTGATTCCATTGATGATCACTTATCTCAATCGCTATGAGGGACTCTTAAAACTCTATCCTGAGTAAGTACAAAACGAATCACGTTTACGCAGAAAGTATTATTAGCAACGATTTTCTCTCGCTTTATTTTGCATGAATGCGAACTGAAATCAGTGCGAGTTAGTGTGATCAACATAGAAATTGTCAATTGAAAAAGTCCCTATTTTGCAAAAATTCTCAAAAGCCATCTCAAAAAGAGGCAATACCTGACTCTGAATACTGACTGGCTAAAAATCGACAAACATGTAGGTATTTGTTTATCACATTGATGAGTCATAATCATACTAAATAAATCTAGTAATATTTTAATCAGTGATGTGGCGTGAATTGCGATGTATCGATTCGTATGCAATTTAAACCCATGGGAAAGGATAGATAAACAGGGTGTTCGCAGCGAACACCTTAATAATCGATTATTTACCATAGGTTTAAATGGCCTAACAATTGATACATCGCAATTCACCCTACGCCTCTGATTTTAATAAATGCGTCGGTTCGTCGGTTCGTCGGTACTCATCCAAATGCTAGGTTTAAATTTAATAGCAGCCTTTCAGACGATTCAGCCAACATTCGATTGTCTTAGAATTTTCGTTGGTAGACTATGAAACTGTCTATTTTTTCCAGTTTTGCTATGAATCCGAGAAATCACAATATGCTGTTAAATGTGTATATGAAGAGTCACAATCGGTTTGGTGGATATATAACTGGCATTTTGGGGGCGTTTTGGATGAGATATCTTCAGGAAAGACGTCTAAAGTTTTCAAAAGTGAGTGTTAACAATTATTGTATAATTTAATCAAACCTGTAGATTTTCATTTTCTTTAATCTTTCTTAATATTTTTTATAAGAGAGTCAAAAGGTTAAACATTATAAATTGCCAATTTATTAATTTTACAATGAATCTAAACTTACGTGGGTTATTGCTTCGTTACAATTGACTTTGCCGATAACCTAGATAACTTTGATACTCTTCGCATCGTAAAGCTATCAAAAATGCACTACAGTCACGGATTTCAAAATGTAAGATGTGCAAATAGAAAGATTTGCGTTAAATCGATTTGCAGATCGTAAGTTTTGTGAGTATACGTTTAAGTCGCGTAGCCTCACCGACTTCACTTCCCATTCTCTCTTTCTTGACGGACGACATCACCAGACTTAAAATAATGTTGCATGGCAGTTAACTGGCTGCTCTACGTTTTTATCTTTCTTTCTTTTTGTTTACAAAATTGAACAGATTTGCAAACCTATATCTGGTCAGTTCTGCTGGAACATATTTGCAGTGGCGAGGCGTGAATGATCGAAACTCGATTTTTCCCCATTTGAAGCTGTAGTAAAGTATCGATTATCAAGGTGTTCATTGCGAACACCCTGTTTATCGATCCTTTTCCATAGATTTAAATGGCGGATCGATCGATATATCGCAAAGCACGCCACGCCACTGCATGCATATTTGCAAAGAAAACAAGACGCCCACTCAGACTAAGTAACTCAAAACTAAATTAAAACCCCAAGGTCGGCCGAGACTTAACAGTTAGAGAATTTCAGAGGCTATAGACCTCCGAAGAAAGCACTTTACAAGACTAGAAACTTAAAAAAGTGTGAGGAGCTGTAAAAAAATAGTTTATTTGTCTGAGGTCAAGTCATGTCATTTGTACCGTTTAGTCATTCATCTACGAGAGCGCTTTAGAAAAAAAAATTCGCCCACACCCTCTTGAAATATAATACAAAAACACAATAAATCATGTAAACAGGTAGATTTTTTCTAGAACCTTCCAGAACAGATAGACTCGTTTGTGCGAACGGGTGAAGTTGTAATCGCAGGATCAGGTGGTTAACTGCCCTCTACCAAAATATAAATCAACTAAAAATGGTCATGTCATACTAAGTTTGAATTAAACCAGGCAGCAGATAACTCACAAATCAAAGAAATATATAGAGCCAGTAATTAATGATCAGAGCATTGTGATAGATACAGCAATGCGCCTTCATACATTACTGTAGGTGTGACTTACTGAATGTTCGGCTAATTGCAGACTAGAGCTTGGGCAGGCGTTTTTATTGGTGTCGCGATGATTGCTACCATCACATGGGTCAGACATTTACTCCACCTTCCAACTACTGCGTATAATGTGATCGCGCACGCATTATTCGCTGGTCTGAACGCTCAGATAATATCTGCAGGTGTCATAATCATTGTTGTGGTCCAAATTACTACAGATTTCGGTAAGATTCACGTAATACCTCAAGAGCAAGCTTTAGCCAATATGCCAAGGACGTCATACATGAAGAATTTGTCGAAATAACGACTCCTTAATTTTATTGATTCCATAGGCCAGCAAATGTAAAGTCATGCCAGTTTCCTGAGATAACCTGAGAGATTTCTCTGTATTCTTAATGCTGATTTTGGGAAGCGTAAAAGGAAAAAAACTTTGGGTTATCCGAAAACTATATAATCAAGACATATTCATGTAGAGGTTTCTTGTAGGATTGAAGTCCTTAGGAAATTCGATAATTTTTTTGATATTTTTCAGGTGCCTTGGATTCCTTATTCTTGACTCAAAACTTCTTCACACTGTTCAGTAGACTCAGTTTTTGGGCATTTCTCATCAATATGCCACTCATCATGGCGATGATTGGCTCCTTCAAAGCTCGTGTCCACATTACTTATGAAGATATGGTAAGTTAGAATATAACATTCTGATATTAAAATTCCACTGATGTGGATTAAATTTTTACATTTTCATGCATATTCAGCTTCAATTCCAGTTTCTTTTCGCCTCTTTCTTTTCGCCAAATACTATAGAAATTAAGCAATGAAACATTTAATTAAGAGGTGCTTTTATAAAGTAAGGCTTTTTTCATGCATCCCTTTTTGTTTATCAATTTAACGTCTTATAAGTTACGAAAAATATGCCGAAGCTTTGGCCTAAAAAACTGGACCCCCATCCCTCCCCCATCGTCACCTGTGTATGTGTGCGATTATTGTGCGATGGTGTAGATAACCGTCCATTAACACCAATGACGTTCGTTAAAACAACATTTTGAACAATCCAATTTTTAAACAAAAATCTCGGATAAGTTGAGATTTTCTCTTTCATATTCTTATATTACTTGTCCACGCAAAATTCCTTGCTTCAATGTTTAACCTGATCCTTTGATTTTTTCTAGATATATGGAGGCCAGCATTGGGGTGATGTGGTACTGACGTATTTTGTATCGTTCTATTGTTACTTGCTGGTTGATGCTCCCATAAGCTATGTCAGACCGGCTATCTTGAAAAATCTCTCAAGGAAGCAGCCACATACTGAAAAGACTCTATGATAATAGCTATGGTTGAAATGTGTGAAACAGAATGTTGAATTCTGTAATTATACTCGTTTATTAAGTTATTCCCATTGCGTTAAAATATGTTGAAGAAGGATACTCGTACAACTATGCTGATAGGAGTGTAGAATGCAATGTATTTTCAATTTTTCAGGGTCTCTAAATGCTAGAAAAAAACATTCATTGGTTCAAATAGTAGGTACTGAAAGGACATTTTATACAGGAGTTAGGTACTATTTTCAATTTTTCAAATAATTAATATTAGCTGATTTTTGTCAGGAAGGCTCTTCTTATAATGCTAATTTTGTTGAATCTTTCCCGCAACTCGCACCATTTTTGCAAGAATAAAAGTCATGGTGTGCATGCACTTCTTTCTTGTAAAGTTTGATCATAAAATATTGTCTCAGGCTCCAAAACAAGTAGCGCTCCTCTATTAAACTTTTCAATTGTGATTTTTGGAAGCTCTGAGAGAAAAACAATGCCTCCCCTAAGCTGTTTAGACGGAGCCACCATCTCTGTAAAAATAATCATTAAACATAAATTAGTCACTCATTTACTTACAATTTGCATATATCGATCAATTTTAACAACCTCAGAGCATAGCTGTAATTGAAAAAGTAGCATGTTTCCATAGGCACTCAGAAATATTTGAATACAATCAAAAGTTATCATGTCATAGCTTTGAGACTAACATGGAGCTTTTGAAATGATATGACAGTCGACTTTACTTTGCAGCAATGGGTTGAAGGTGCGAAAAGTGGCCTCATAATAATGCTACGTATTAGTTCTGTTAGCGAAATAAACATTAATGGCTCAAGCAATGTCTGTTTTCATAATTTTTGGTTGTCCACAGGCACAAAGTAACACAAACCACCATAACTGTCCTACATTTTTGATACTTCCTCATATTGATGCATCTTTATAAATACGAGTATAAAGAAACTACCGATGCTCTAACTGTTGCAGAATGACAATTTTATGGAATAGAGGGCTGCGCTTTCTGACCGCTACGAGGTCCAACCCCCTGAAGCTCTTCGCGTCTCAAGCGTTATGCGTCAAGCATTATTTTATGCTTTTTTATTACAGAGTAAGATAGAAAGAATTCATAGCTGGGCAAAGACGACATAAAGTTCAGTGAACTCCAATATTCTGTCCAGTTTGTCGTCTCTATTCTGCTGACTCATAGTGTTTTTTGTATCAAGTAAATAAACCTTGACATTTTGAGATGCGACAGACTCAGTTAGATACTTTAGATTGAATATATTGCAAATTAAATTTTCCGAAAAATTTACGGAAATATTCACAAATTTCTAAGGGCACCAAATTCGCCTGAGTTTTCATATTGAGCCTAATTAAGTGACAAAAGTGACGGATAAGTAAATAGAAAAAACCAAATTCACCTTTCATGTAATCATGAATGTCTTGGGCGATGATCTTAGAATGATCTTGTGGCACAATGAACGCCCGAGGAACTTCTCCAAATATTTCATGACGGATTCCAATAACTGCAGCATCTTTTATTTCCGGGTGAGAGTTTAAAACTGTTTGTAATTCGCAAGGAGAAATCTGAAAAATCCGTCAGAAATTATGTAGGTACAGTTTCAATCAGAACCTCAACACCGAACACATGTTATGAACCAGCACTGATCAGCCTGAGGATTTGAACATCTCCGGGGCTTCTCAATCGTGAGAAAAACCATCGTGAAGGATAGCCATTTAGAAAAAACTTGAACAATTTTGTGGTGGGAAACTTTTGCAAGAGAAATTTATCTCAGAAAGTCAGATGAGTGGATTTAACTATAAAATCGGTCCAAATACGACACGATTTGTCTGTTTCCCTGTCATTTCTCATGTTTTCAGCAAAAACCTAAGCAACGTTCTAACTTGAATTTTCTTAAAAAAAAGTTGTTTATAATCGGGGGAATTCATACACATTTTTAAGGTATTTTGCTGTTCAGGTTTCTGTTTTCAAAATTAAATATCAGAAAAAATTCAGTAACCTGACATTCAATGAAGCTGGTTATGGTCAAGCTAGGTTCTTAGTGTCCCTATTTTAAGCACTTAAACCCCAATATTTGCATTATTTTGTCGTAGATGTTTATTTGTAGAGATATATTCGACTGATCCCTATGATTGTGTGACTATCAGCCGGTATCTTTAGATAAGCTCGCTAGCTTCAAACTTTCAAAAATGGTCCATTGAGGTGACTGGGTGAGGTTACCTAGAGACCGAGAGTTGTCTCTGACCGAGAGAAACCTATAATTACTCCCGTCAGTGGTGTCAGTAGCCATGTTTGTAGACGAGCAACTCGTCAAGTTTAAAATTGGGGGGGTGACTTTTTTTTTTTTTTTTTTTTTTTTTTTTTTTTTTTTTTTTTTTTTTTTTTTTTTTTTTTTTT